GAATTACAGCATCGCCTCAGGCTACGTGCTGAACTTCCTTCGCCACAGACTATCGCTTCCACTTGACTATTTTCTATTTTTATCTAAATCCTGTACTCCGTACAGGACAGTCGCAGATTTCTGGCGCGTCAGTTCCGGATCTGTGGGCTCTAGGAACTCTGTGGCAAAGAGGGGACCCGCCAACAGCTACGGTAAGTCTTACCAGCACCGAAAAACAAAAACAAAAATGAGAGTTGGCATGGAGCGCAAAAACAGTAAAACCCCCCCCCCCCCCCCAAACAGATACACCGCGAGCCCGCCGACTATTTTGAAATCTTAACGGCTTCTGGTATGGCTGACATTTGCATTTTTATGACCAGCTCCACGTCGTTTCAGGTTTACACAACCAGACACCCTCGGCATTGTGATCGCGGCACCCTGTTGCATCTGACCAACGCACGAACCACACCCCCAACCCACAACACACTCGACTTTCGACACTCGAGGCTGTTTCCAATCCCCCAACATTGCCTAATCTGTCGACGTCTTTCGACGCTTCTCATCTCCATCTCCGTTTTTTTTTCTGCTCTACGGAGTAGCCTATTCACTTGAAGTCTCCACGACACGTCGGTCCCCATACGACTGTGGAGTTTTTTGACGTATCTTAGCACAATACAACTGTTGTTATCTGGGGTGAGACTTGAAATAAGAGTGCACGCTACGGAGAAGACGGTTCGCATGCATATGAGAGAAACGAAGGGCCGGGTCGTTTCTTGCACCAAACCAACTGTCTCCTCGTCTTCCATGTCTTCCTTGTCTTCCGTGCCTCTCTAGTCGCTTTTATCTTCCTACCTTCCGCCCCCCCTGCTGGCTTTGAAGATACTTTATTTTTATTTCGCTTTTTCTTGAAATTGTTTTATTCTGCACTTGTTTGTTCAGATATTCTCCCAAGGTTTCTGTCTCTTGCCGCTTCTTATTTTTCTATCTTATATCTTGTTTCTTCCCTATCCTTTCCCTCTACATCTTCCTTGCAGTTCCTTCGTTTGTCACAGACTCCCTGGTCAACTCGCGTGCACGGCCACCCTTGAAAACCGGGTTGACAGCAACGCGCATATTCGTCTCTACCGACGACGTACATGCGTCCGGACCTGTCTACACAACATACTGCCGCTCACGCAGACCCTTTCCCGTTTAACCCACGATATCGACCAGAATCCGGCCTTGCGGATATCGCAAACACTTGCATCGTGCGCCTTCTTCAACGCACACGGCTCGAACACCGGACAACATCCAAGCAAACCAAACCAAACCAGACACCACCTGAATCTGCAAATTCTGGAGTTGTATCTGCCGCAGGTCTCCCGCAGGACGGCCGCACCTTTGACGCACGCGCATACCCGCCCGTGCGATTCCCAGACTGTCTGTTCTCTCCATGCCACTTGCTTGTTGCGTTTGTTCCTGCAGCACCATGTCCATTGCCCCCCCCCCTTCGTCCCATTATCTCTCGCTCGGCTCTCTGTTCTTGCTGCTCGTGCGCCCCGTACGGCGTGTGGTCTGGCCTCAGATGCATTCCAACGACATCATCGAGTCGTCTAGACTTCCATTCCCCTGACAAACCAACGTTTCGCGACCAGTCCAAATCCAGATGCACTTTGATAGCTGTTATATTCTCCAACAGTCAGTTACGAGACGTCTTCTGGCTGACAAAATATTTTGCACAGAATATACGCCAATCATTCTAATGGGATTGACCATGGCACAACAACACCATCAGTCAGTTCAGGCCAAAGAAGAGCCTTATGACGTGAGTTATTTTTTTCTTCTTTCTTTTCGGATTGCTTGACTGCACCTCGTTTCGTTCCATGTTCTCAACACACAAGTTTACCACTCTCATCCGTCCTTTTCTGGCCTCCCTCTTTCTCTTACACCACACACCGATTTCCACGGGTCAGCTTGCCGCCCATTTACGCAACCGACTCTCGTTCCCGTGTCTACCCTACCACATACTTTCTGTTATGTTTTTGTCGGTCAGCTAGTTGCAGACTTGACGGTTCTTCCTATCCGGCCCTATTTTCTCGATCTGATTTTGTTAAATCAACCGTTGAGTTGTCACTCAAAACAAGGAAAGTGCATCACGAGTGGCGTGTATTTTCTTTTCCCCCCTTTTCTTTCTTCGAGGTGGCTTTCTCAGACCTGTCTCGCGTCTATGAGACCATTTTACCTCACTTCACTCAGCACACCTTTCCTGGCACTCCTGGTGGTTCGGCGCAACACAAACTCATCCCACGCCCCCCTCCCAGACACTCCGTGGAATCAAGTTTTGTTTCCAGAAAGAACGGAGGCAGTCAGTCCAGTGGTGTGGTTCCAATTGGCAATTAGGGCCATCGCAAATACCAGGCAATAATTTTGAGAAACGAGGGTGGGAATTGCAGGGGTTGTCCTGTTTCACTAAGCACTAGGGCGCCCCATCCCACACCACGCTTCCAGCCCAAGGCAGGCTAGCGCCACGCGGCCGCTGGATGCTGCCCTGGCCCTGTTTTCGTTCCAACGAAAAAGATGGGTTTCTTTCTACAAGAAAGCCACGGCTTCCGCTAGGCGGGTTGTCCAACGGGTGTTAGTGCCATTCTGGTGGCCACCAAGGAAGCGGCAGGCTACGTCGTACTTTTGCAGTCTAACTGGCAGGTTGACAGCGCTTGGCTATACTTTTCACATTGTCAAGACAAGCAAAAGTCCCGGTGCCCACTATGACGAGTGATCCTGCTCTTTGTTGTCTACTTCCAAAGCTTTTTCTCGATTGCGCGGCGCAACTCTGCCGGACAGTTGATCAAAGAAGAGGTTTCTTCTTTTTGCAAGTGTCTTGTTTGGGTTGCATCGTACCAGGATATGATTCGACGAAGGAGGAGGGAGAGCAAGCCAGGCCAAACTTGCGACTGGCATTTCTGCGTGTTTTTCTTGCCTGGCTCGTGCGGCTTGTTGGCGGAATTGGAGGACCATCTGACAACGGCACCGTCAGCTCGTGGTTCCAATTGAGCTTGCTTCAGTCCACTATGATGAGCCTCTGCGTCTCTGTCGCTGCACCACTTCATGTGGCGCGGGCTATGGCTGGTGTTCATGGTGCTGCGTCTATGGACAAGAACGACAAGGATCGTGTCTTCCACACACCGCCCTTGTCGAGTTTGGCATTGGGGGAGGAAACTAAGGGGGACGACAGACACCAGTGAGGCACCCGAGTTCCAGTCTTTCGAAACCCCCCGGGTTGTGTCCCCGTCCCCTGTCCCGGCCAGTGGCTCTCTATTGGGCAATCGCCGAACGGAGTGGGTTCTGCAGCAGACGTTGCCCATTGGTCATGCTCAACTCTCCCACTACCCCAATAGCGTGTCCTTCCCCTTTTTTCACACCCCCTATTCCTCCAGTCTTGTCCCAGAATACCTTTCTCCTGGAGATTAGCATCCTTGATCCTGGTCCCCGCTGTCCCCATTCACACCTCTGCCCTGGCTCATCTCATCGATGTTATGCCCCCCCGAATTTTATGGGTTTCTGTATGCTGTTTGCGAGTGCCCACTTTTCTTCCACTGTTCAGAAGTTCATTCACCTCCAACCAAAGAAGCTGGATGGCAAACACTAAAAAAAACTCCCAAACCAAAGCAAAAGAAGCTCAAAGCGGCCTTGCGACACAAATCAACACCATCCTCCTGTTTTCTTTTATTTTAGTTTCTCTCCCCCATTTTGCACTGGCCTACATAAGAACCTGGGCTTCCTTCACCTCCCCCACCCGTTTATGTTGCGAATACACCACTTCCTTGTCTTCCAACTGGACTATATCGTCTTTGCACCTTCTCTTTCAACAGCAACTATCCTGCGTCTTTCGCTCGTTCTCGCCTCGCCCATTTCTTATCTCGTTGGACCTGTTGCGTATGTATACCTCTCGCCTTGTGCCCTTTCGTCAACATCACCTCAGCGCTTGCCCGTCCTGTCTGTCGTCTGCTCGCCACGGCACCTTCACCTTCTCCGAGTTCGGTTATCACCGCTGGCCTTGCCTCCTCCTTGATCCTTGCCCGCCTCTTCCCATATACCTATTTTGTCATCAGCCAACATCTGCACAAATATGTCGAACGTTTATGCTGGCTGGATAGTGAATTACACCATCTTGTGCATCTAAATACCGATCCCCAAACACTCACCTGACAAAATAACACTACTCGGCACAACTTCTTTCAAGTGTTTGGTTCTTAGTTAGAAACCATACAAGGAGTTGGAAACGATACAAGGGGCATCTCAAGGGCAGCCTTAAGTTCAGTTAGGTTCAGTCCGCCCTGGTTTGAAAAAATAACGTGGTGGCATCTGTCGCCTACACCGCAGATCGTCTCCCGCCCCTGATTTTTCTTTCCCGTTTCTTATCTGAGCAATTAAGACTTGCGGCGCGGCATGCCTGGCTCTCATGTTTCTTCTGTCTTTACTTCCCATAAATCCTTCCATATCCCCCCCCAAACACTAGCTTTCCACCCCTGCTCGTCAACGTTATGTCGAGACATCATTAAACAAGCACCTACCCCGCCGCCCCCTTCTTTCTTTTTCCTGCATCAAAATTTGTTTATGTGCCATTGCTTTCGTGCCTGATTCACGTATAAACTAGGTTCCGCCGGACCAACGTTACTGACTACGTCTGTAGCACCACAACCACCCACAACAACATCCTCAGAGTCAAGCACCGCCGCATTTGCAACAATCTCGCCCACCAAGCACAGTTCATCAAGCCCAGGCTCAGACAACGCAACCTCAACAACAGGCATCGCCCTATCCTGTCTACCACCAGCAGTCGCAGCACAGCAGTGGTCATCATCCGCAAGACCTTTATAACTACCAATCCAGTCCGTACAACGCTCCCGCTGCGAACAGTGGGTATACCTCTGCAGGTAATACACTTATATATTGCGCCCAATACGAGTCTTCTCACGATCGATTGAGACTAGTTGTGACTGACCATTTGGGTTTTGCTGCAAACAGATATGATGACCGCAACGATGTCCAGACCTCAGTACCCGCCCATGTCCTACCATACGCCGCAATCAAACTCCCCTGCCTCCGTGGCTTCAACAAGCGCCCATGATCAGCAGCGTAGTCTGTACGGCCAGCCGCCACCACTTCATCAGCAGCAGATGTACTATGGCCAGCACCAGCAGTACCAACCCATGCCGCCATCGGCGGCTCCTTCACCATATGGCCAACACACACAACCCCCCCATCAGTCCATGGGCTCGCAACCCGGTATGATGATGTCTCACGGCGCACCGTCCCCCGTGCCGCATCAGATGGCCCAACACCCGAGCCAGCACAGCCCGTCCGCGTTGGCGGGTAGCCCGCGTCATGCAAAGATGGAGGTCCAGAGTCTTACCCCTCAGCTCTCGCGCCAAACTGGTCCCCCGAACGCACCTTCGCCGCTCTCCATGGGGCAAGTCCAAGCTCAGAATTTGCAGGCGCAGAACATGCACGCCCAAAATCTCCAGGCACACCAGGCACACCAAACACAGAACCTGCACTCGCAACACCAGCACCACGTTCAGCACCCTCAACACGCACAGCACCCTCAGCATGCGCAGCACCAGCAACACCCCCAGCAGCCTTCTCAGCACCCTCAGCAACACTCGGCGCACACGCCCCAGCCGAATGGTACAAGCCCGCTTCCTTCTGGTCAGGCCAGCAGTGCTGGCCAGGCGGCCGTGAACCCAAATGCAGCGCCTGGCCCGATCCCTGCAACGACACCACTGGTGGTGCGTCAGGACCAGAATGGTGTTCAGTGGATTGCATTTGAGTACTCCCGTGACCGTGTCAAGATGGAGTATACGATTCGCTGCGACGTTGAGTCGGTGTCGACCGATGACCTTTCTCCCGAGTTCAAGCAGGACAACTGTGTTTATCCCCGTGCTTGCTGTCCTCGTGAACAGTATCGGGGCAACCGCCTGCAGTACGAGAGCGAGTGCAACACCGTCGGCTGGTCTCTTGCCCAGCTCAACCCACCGTTGCGCGGCAAGCGCGGCCTCATCCAGCGGGCGGTTGACAGCTGGCGTAACAGTAACCAGGACCCCCGGTTGCGGAGTCGCCGCGTCCGTCGCATGGCGAAGATGGGTTCACGCAAGAATGCGGCCTCTACTCCCGGCAGCATGACTTCAGGTGTCGGCCATCAGTCGCCCGCCCACCTCGGTGGCCCTGTCACGCTCCCCAACGTCGGTACTCCAATGGGTAAGCCTTTGCATGGCATGCCCCAGCAGCTTAGCCACCACGCCGACACGACGGCACACACTGGCGGAGACGAAGCTGGTATGTTCCATCAGATGTAAAGATCTGGTTGATTGGTTTTTTGCTCAATGTTTTTCTTATTTTTTCTGCCTTTTCACATTTTCCTGTTATGACCGAATCTGGCACGACGTTTTTGATACCTTTTCTCAAAGATCGCTTTTTATATACTTCTTTTCTCACCCCTTTTTTGTCCTTTGCCATTTCCTCTTCTTCTCTCATCCAACACTGTCATTTCAATTTCCTTCTGGCTCTCTTTTACCCATTGGCGAGGGTTTCGACCGCCATGTCTTGGTTCGTCTGGTTCTGGTTTCTTCAAATATTTCTCTTCCGCGATTCTTGTTTCCTATTCCTCTCCTTGGCCCGGTTATTACATATCTTTCGTCGTTATTGTTTCCTTATTTTTGTTCCTTTTCACCTTTTTGGTCATTTTGATATATATACTCTTTATAGTCGGCCTGAGTCCTCCCCTTCTGAACGAAGCTCAGGTGACAGAGCTGGCGCACAACAAAGCAAGGATTCTGTACACTACTCTCAATTTTTATGTGTCGTGCTAGGTCGCAATGCTATTTGACGGCTGACGTATGGTGTTTTTGTTCTTCCCTGTCACTTTCTTGTTCAGTCTCCACCACTGTCGTTTCCCCAACGTTGCCTAGCGGCGTTGTTGTGCTTGATTTTTTGTCGGCTTGATGGGCTGGCTTCGGGAGACATCTCATGGTCGTCGACCTGGAGGAATCTGGAAGTGGCCAAAGAGAAAGAAAGAAGGACTGGATAAAGTGAAACAGGAAATTTGGTGTTCAGCGCAGGACGCGGCAAACAAGATAGGCAGACTCGCTATTCACCTGTTTTCTTTTCTTTTACATTTATTCCTGCCTCTTTCTTGTTTTCTACTTGCATCGTTTTTTCTGATCCTTACTCTCTCACCTGGCAGACGAGGCTGGTCGACGTTTGTGCGATGTGGCCGCACCAGGCTAGAGAAAGGAAACACGCCAATGGTCGAAGAAAACAAGTGTACGAGGCAAGCGGCCGTGGAAACATAAAAAACACAAGAGTATCTGGGATGCGAGTAGTCCGTTTGATTGATTCTCGTCACGCCTCGTGGCGGAGACTGGAATCGACGTACCATAAGGACTCCGTTTTATTTTTTTTTGCACACGGTTTTCTATTGGAAAGACGAGTCGTTCTCTACAAAATATCTCTTTTTTACTTGCTGCATTTGGAAGTGTCCACCCCCTTTTTCACATCTATTATTTCTCGAAGCCTATCCTTGCCTGAGGGGTCAGAACCCCCCTTTCGTTCTCTTTGCCCCCTTTCGAACCCCTGGTATCTTGTCGTTGCATCATACACACCAATTCGGTCTCCTTTTCCAATCCTTGCCTAGTCTGTTATGGTCCCCGCCACTCCCGCCACCCCTGCTCATGTGCTTGCTTGGGTTTTCCCTTCTTCGGTATCTTACCTGTCGATTCTCCCTACACTGGCTGGTCTGTGCCGTGGTACTTCATGCCTGTCCTCGTCGTTGTCTAGTGACCTGAGGCTGGTGAGTGTTGACACTCACCTTGTTTGGTCGTGCTCCCACTCTTATGTATCATCGTCATCCCATGGTCAACGTTGTCATCTCGTCGCCTTTCATTCTACCATCACCACGATATATGAACATCAAGCTGACCATGTTGATGACCACAGGCGAGAGAGAAGATTCGTATGTTGACGAAAGCCAACATCATCATACCCACGCTCCAGCTGTTGGTGCTTCTACGGCGCCAGGTCTCGATGCACAGGATTCCCGGCCGGCCCTCGTTTTCGACAGCCCCTACGGCGGCTACGCAAGCGGTGCGCCTCTGCCGCCGATGTCTTCCTCGGTGGCGATTGCACACAGTGCCGGCAGCGTGAGCGGCAGTGCGGGCGCCAAAAAGGTTGTACCGCAGCCAGACGGCCTGTTCCCTGATGTTCCTGAGGCAAAGAAGCGCAAATTTGTTCTGGTTGAAGACCGTGGATCGCGGCTGCGTGTGCGCGTAACGCTGAACATGGTTGACACAAGCGAGATCCCGGACTCCTTCCGTCGCTCGAATGCCGTGTGCCCGGGCTCGTTTTTCCCGCGTGAGATGGAGAGCCCGCCCCCCAGTCCCACGGGCCGTCGCTTCTTCGTCCACGACCAAGATGACGTCGAGGACCTGAACCTGGACAACGAGGGCGCCGAGGTGGAGGCTAGCGGCGATGCTGGGGCTAGCCGCAGACGCCGTCAGCACCACCGCCTGCGCATGGCCATGTCAGGGGGCAGCGATAGCCTGCACGGCACGTCGACAATGGTCACAGTTCCGGTGGGCGATGGTGTCGAGACAGAGGTGGCCATGCCGCGGATGCGCAAGGCACTGCGTCGCAAGCAGGTGCGACTCAATGACCTGGGCTGCCGTATGGCGTGGCTGCAGAGCCGTGCTTTTGCAGGCCGCCGCATATTTTTGCAGAAAGCTTGTACGGAATGCATATAACTCCCTTTGCGATGCTGCAAACGACACGTGCTAACATAACTAAACTAGTGGACACTTACCGTAGCAAGACTTGCAACGGCATCCAGGCGTCCATGCACGACGTCAGCGAGATTGCGCCGCACTACGAGATGCGCGTGGGCAAGAAAAAGTGGCTGTCTTGCGAGCGCGAGATTGAGCTGCGGCAGCTCAGCCAGACGTGAAACCTCTATTGGTTAGACAGCACTGTAGATTTTAGTTTTTCGGCTTGATTCTGTGCGTTAAACATGTTGCTTAATATTTTTGGACGTTTTTTGGAAGTTTTGGACTTTTTGGTGATATGACTTTGGTTTTGCAAGGCTCCAAATGGTGTACTATTGAGTTGAGGGTCAAGAAAGGACAAACAGGGCCAAATATTGGAGATGTCTTGGATTGTACGTCATATTTGTGTGCTGTTAAAGTTTTCATTTTAAAGCTGCCTTGCTCTTTTCCCGTGTATTGGACTTGATCTGGAAAATCGTTGGATATCACGGACTATTCTTTTTTGTGATGGCCTCAAGTTATCTTTTGGCGCAGCTTTATTGCCCTTTCAGGTTGTGTTAGTCGCGGCCGGCCTCAAAACGTCAAACTCGCTGACGTAATTTCGGCCCCGCCCCTGCCGCCTTCGTCGGCCAAGAGTCATTCTGGGTCATTCTCAGAATCTAAAAGCGGCAATCGCTAGGCCCGGTTCCAACTGCAGTATTTGAACTGCCAACGTGCCTCATTTCCAACTTGGAACGTTTCGCGATTTCGCCCATTGACGGCCACAAACAACACATTTTTTTTTGGACATGCAGCCACCATGAAGCAGCGCTTCTCTTCTCTCGATGTCCGGGTATGTTAACAGACGGGAAAACTGTCCCGCGCGCCGCTATGCCGTCCGTTCCACTGCTAACCATCCCGCCATCCTTCTTTCTAGGCAATAAGCCACGAGCTCAACCAATCCCTCGCCGGCAACCGAATCTCCAATGTCTACGACCTCGTCCCGCCATCCGCGGCGACCTCCGGTTCCTCCTCCAACTCACGCACCATCCTCCTGCGCTTCTCCCGCAACCAGGACAAGCACCAACTTGTCGTCGACTCGGGGTTCCGTTGTCACTTGACAGCCTACGATGCTCGCGCTTCGGCCAATGCGTCGGGAACGGGCAGCGGCGGCGGGGCCAACAATGCGCCCTCGACGTTTGTCAGCCGTCTGCGCACGTTCTTGAACGGCCGCATAGTCACGGGCGTTGCTCAGGTCGGCACTGATCGCATAATCGAGATTAGCTTCAACGACGGCCAGCTGCGCCTCTACTTCGAGTTCTTTTCGGCCGGCAATGTTGTGCTGACAGATGCCAACTCCAAGGTGTTGGCGCTGCAGCGTACGGTGGCCGCCTTTCGTAGCGCTAGTCTTGATGTGACGCTCAGTGTTGGCAGTCCGTATGCTATTGGTGCCCGGAAGAATGTCTCAGAGATTCCGGAATTGACGCTGGACCGGCTGCGCGAGGTGCTTCAAAATGCGGTTTCTGCGGATGTGCCAAAGGCTGCACCAGCCGAGGGCGAAACTGCTCCTGTAGCGACTCCGCCGGCCAAGAAGAAGAAAAAGACAAAGGGCCTCAGTCGCATCCTGGCCCTTTCTTTCACAGATCTCTCCCAGGTGCTGATCGATCACATCTTGCTGCTGTCTGAGTTTGATATGAAAAGCGCCGCTCAGCCGGAGGACATCATGGCCGATGAGACACGCCTCCAAGCTTTGCTGAAGGTGCTCCAGGAAGTGCGTACCGTGACCGAGGGCCTGACCCAGGCTGGCGCCAACTGCCGTGGCTACATCATTGCTACGAAAAAAGAGGTGCCCCAGGAAGACGCACAGGCAGACGAAGGACACGACGACGCAGCATCGGAATCGGCGAGCAGCCACCCCACCCCAGCGTCTCGGCGAAGCGATCTTGACTATGTCGACTTCCATCCCTTCAGCCCCCGCCAGTTTGAGATTGACCCGAAATATGTGGTCCTGCCTTTTGCTACCTTCAACCAGGCGGCCGACGAGTTTTTTTCGCACCTGCAAGGCCTCAAGGCAGATCGCCAGGTCCACCAGCAGGAATCGGCTGCCTCCAAGAAGCTCGAGGCTACCAAGCGCGACCAGGCACAGCGCATCGAATCGCTGCAGGAGACACAGCAACTCAACGCCCGGAAGGCCGCGGCCATCGAGGCCAACAAGGATTGGGTGCAGCTGGCCATTGATGCCGTCAACGAACAGCTGCAGCTGGGCATGGACTGGGGTGACCTCCAAGTCATGATTGAAAACAGCGCGGCTAGCAACCCGGTGGCGGCGCTCATCAAGCTGCCTATGAACCTGGCCGAGGGCACGATTACTCTTCGGCTGCACGAAGAGCCCGAAGAGGGCTGGGAGGAAGAGTTCGAGGAGGGTGCCTACGAGCAGGATGAAGATGGGGACGAAGGCCACGGGACGATAGATGTCGATGTCAAGCTGGCTCTGTCCGTATGGAGCAATGCCCGCGAGTACTACGACCAGAAGCGTGTGGCAGCCGTCAAGGAGCAGAAGACCAAGGAGGTCACTTCGTTGGCGCTGCGCAATGCCGAGAAAAAAGTGGTCGAGGAGCTGAAGCGCGTCCAAAAGACGGGCAAGCCAACACCGCAACTTATCCGCCGGCAACTCTGGTTCGAAAAGTTTTGGTGGTTCATCTCGTCCGACGGCCACTTGATTCTCGCTGCCCGCGAGTCGCAGCAATGCGAGATGCTGTACCGTCAGTACCTCCGCCGGGGCGATGTTTACGTGCATGCCGATCTCAAGGGATCGCCGGGCATGATTATCATCAAGAACCGCCCCGACACCGATGTTGACGCGCCAATCCCACCGGCGACGCTGGCACAAGCCGGAACGCTGGCCGTGTGCGCCTCTGAGGCGTGGGACACCAAGGCCGGCATGGGTGCGTACTGGGTGCACTCAAACCAGGTCTTCAAGTCGACCGCCAACGGCGACATCCTCCCGCCCGGCTCCTTCGACGTCCGCGGAGAGAAGAACCATATGCCACCGCCGCAGCGTGTGCTCGGGTTCGGTCTGTATTTCAAAATTAGCGATGCCAGCCGAGTCAACCACGGAAAGCACCAGTTCGTATCGCCACCGACCAACGTCGACGAACATGGGCCGACCAAAGCCGAGGAAGATGAAGAGGCAGAGGAGGAGGAAGAGGAGATAGCAGAGGTTGGCCACAGCGATGCCGATGAAAAGCTCGACGATGCAGGGAAGCAGACACAAGAGCCGGCGGACACGACAGAGGAAGAACCCACACTTGAGCCAGCAGGAATAGCCGAAGCGGCCGCAGTTGAGGGCAAGGAAGCAGAAGGCGACGGCGGTGGAGAGGCCGAACGTGTGGCAGAAAGTGTGGCAGACGAGAAGGAGGAGCCAGAGGACGATGCCGACTCGGCCGCTCCAGCGGCGGGATGGATCGGAAAGGCACATTCGCATCTCCGCGCCAGCTCACCAACGCCGTCCCGGGGCTCGAGCGTCAACACCAGCTCTGGCGGCAGCTCCAAGCGGGGCCAAAAGGGCAAAGCCAAGAAGCTGGCGAAATACAAAGACCAGGATGACGAGGACCGGGCCCGCGCCGAGAAGCTTATCGGCATTTCCGCCGGCCGCGAGAAGCAGGAGGCCAAGCTGCGTGCCAAGGCCCAGCGCGAGGCCGAGATTGCGGCCTACGAAGAGCGCCGTCGCATCCAAAAGGAGAAGCAGCTGCAGAAAATGCGTGATTACGAAGCGGCGCGGCAGGCCAAGATGAAGGCTGGCGGCGACAATGGCAATGGCGGCGGCGCACTCGGCAACACGGACGACGCTGATGACGCCGGCAGCCTGGACGTGCTCAGCTCTCTTGTTGCGCGGCCTGCCCCCGGCGACGAGGTCCTCGAGGTGGTTCCCGTTTGCGGGCCCTGGATGGCACTGTCCAAGCTCAAGTACAAAGTCAAGATGCAGCCGGGCCCGACGAAGAAGGGCCGTGCCATGCGGGACGTGCTGGAGCGGTGGCGGCGCGTCGGTGAGGCCGGCAAGGCCAACCCCAATGTCATCGACGAGGAGAGCCGCGACCCGGAGCGCATGTGGCCGCGGGAGGTGGAGCTGATCTCGGGTATCAAGATGGAGGAGGCGTCCAACAGCGTGCCGGTGGGCAAGCTGACTCTGATGCAGGGCGGCGGCGGTAGCGGAGGGGGAGGAAAGGGCGGCAAGGGTGTCAAGGGCGGCGCGGGCAAAGGCGGCAAAGGCAAGGGTGTTGGGAAGAGCGGTGCAGGAGGCGGCAAAGGTGGGAAGGGCGGAGGTGGGAAGAGATGAGCAGAAGTTGCAGCTGAGGTGAAATTGATAGGAAAGTCATGTATAAGTCGAATGGCAGGTCAGATGAAGGTCAAGAACGGGCCGATTTCCTGGGACATGGGAAACACCACATTGTAAAGCGCAACGTCAAAAATCATAAACGAAAACAGTGTACATGAGTAAAAGATAATAATATAGATCGAAGAAAACCTATTCTTTTTTAAGCCACCCGGTAGTTGCGTGCTGACCAAAAACCCATGGGACATGGAGACAGGACAATAATTGGGCAAATCAGACGACAGTCTCTTCTAGCAACGGAACAAACGACAATGAAAACGTCAAAAAGAAAACGTTAAAAGAAACGCTGACCCGAAAGGATTTATCTAAACAAAGGCACAAACCGACAGCGACCAGTCGCAACACGCCCCGACTCGATATTTACCATTAGCCGAGGGCGGCGACAACAAGAGCCGACACACCCTCCTCCTCGCTGCGGACCGTCACCTTGGTGGTCACGCCCGACTTGGAAGAGTAGGCCATGCGGACGTTGGCAACGACGCGGCCGCCGTTGACTGTCTTGCCCAGCAGCTTGAGCGTGTGCGTTGTCTGGCTCATCGGAATGTCGGTGCCCTCGAGCGGCTGCAGCGACAGCGTCTTGGCGAGTTGCTCTGTTGCGTCTTGAATGGGGGTTAATTTAATGTAAGGACATGCGATAAAGTCGGGGTGGCTGTGGGGGGAAGATGGGATAGGAAAGACGGCATAAACCTACCAGCAATGCTCTTCACGCCGCTGAGCTGCAACGTCTCCTCACACTCCTCGCCCGACGCGCCAATCTGCTCCCACAGGTGAGCAAAATTGCTGGCAAACGTCGGGATGACGTAGTCGCTGCCGGCCAGCTCGAACTCGGACACCTCGTACTCGTCGTCGTAGCCAGTCTCCTCGGGCTCGCCCGTCGTCGGGTCGATCTCCTTGCTGGTGAACTTGAGCACGTTGGAGAAGCTGCTCGTCGGCAGCGCGTCCGCACCGCCCAGCTTGCGCAGCGCCACGTACACCTTGCCCGGCTCGTCGGTGGCCAGGCGCTCGGCCTGCAGGATGAACACCTCCTCGACCTCCTCGTCGTCGGACGGCGTGGCCACCACCGACACGTTCTCCAGGACGGTCTCGGGGAGCGTGTTCTTGACCTCGTACTGCAGCACAATGTGTTCCTTGAAGATGTGCTTGACGACGCTGACGACGTACTCGGTCTCCGCCTCGGTCAGCTCGATGACAGGCGACGACTTGAGCACGGCGCCAAACTCCTTCATCTCGGGGATCTGAAGCAGCTCCTGCGCGTACTTCTGGGCCTGAGCCGACGCGGTGGCGGCAGCCTCGGCGCCCGTCGCGGGCGTCTTGCTCGGGCCGAGCTTGGGAGCCTTGAGCGTCGGGGCCGTTGCCGTGAGCTTCTTTGTCCGGTCCTCGGCGTCGGCCTGCTCGCGTGTGACGACAGGGATCGTGGAGACGTCAAACGGCGCGGCAAAGGTTTCTTTGTCGTCGGCCGTGACGTATGTGATGAGCTGGTGCTCAAAGTAGGACAGGGAGTACATGTTTTCTGTAAAAGTCAGTCGCTGTTTTTTTTTTTCTTTTTTTTTTTTCTTCTTCTACAAAACATACCGTTCTTAACAAAGCGCGTCGACAGCTCGTCCGGCTCTTCCATTAACCGGAGGCTCAGAGTGGCACGGTCGCGGACCTCGTCGTCGACGTCGTCCAAGCAGCGCGAGAGGAGCACCTGCACGCTCTTCTTGACTTCGGGGTCCTTTTGGGCGACACCGAACTTGGCCAGGGCCGTCACAGCCGCCGCACGCACAATGGCGTTCTCGAGCACGACCCGGTTGTAGATGTAGCGGATGTACTTGGTCGGCTGCGAGGTCTTGGGGCCCTCGATACCCAGCAGATGCAGGATGCGGACGGCCAGCTTCGTGAACTCGCAGTCCTCGATGAATTCGCAGAGGTGTGCCAGGGCGTCCTCTTTGGAGTCCGGTACAAACTTAATCAGATCAAACATGCTCTCGACGACGGCGCGCTTAAACTCGTAGCCGCCCTCATCGCGCAGAATGCCGCTGAGGAAGGTGAGCATGCCAGCCTGCTTGCTGGGGAACTTGAGGCACAATGTGCGGATGGCCTCGACAATGGTGATCTTGAACTCATCGGTGATCTCGGACATGAACCCACTAATCTGCTTCATCAGGCGGTCGACACTGGCCTCGTTGCCGGTCTTGAGCAGCGTCGTAATGGCAAACGTGGCAATCGACCGGTTGCTGTTGGAGATGAGCAGCTCAATGTCCGGGTTGCACACGTGCACGGCCTGGGGCTTGAACGAGGCAAAGTTGTGCAAGATGCGCAGGGCCGCAAACTTGGTGACAGCGCGCGGCGACGTCAGGAACAGCTGCAAAACGTGCACGGCCTGCGAGACCTCGGCGTCGGTCACGTCGCGCAGGTCGCAGATGGCCTTGGCCGCCTCGAAGTTGACCATCTCACTCTTGTGGCGCAGCCAGCCGTCGAGCAGCTGCACCATGGACGGGCGCAGTGTGGGGTCCTCCTCGGCGAGCTGGGCAGCGAGGCGCACGAGCAGTACAACCGCCGCAGGGCTCTTGACGGCGCCAGCGGCGCCAAACTGCTTGACCATCTTGACGAGAGCCATCTTGTCGTGCATGCGCATCTGGTACAGCAGGCCGATAGCGTGGTACTGGGTCATGGACGAGCTGTTGACCGGGGCCGCGTTCGACGACGAGAAGCCGAGCGAGAAGCCGCCGGAGCCCTTGGTGTTGGCGGCGGCCTCCTGGGTCTCGCTCTGCCAGCGGCGGACCACGTCGCGGGCAATGGGCAGCAGGTGGTAGGACGAGATCAGGGCGGCCGACGACACGGAGGGGGTGCGGTCGACAATGGCCGTCTTGATGACACGCTCGATGGACTGGACGGTGGTGGCGTCGATGATACGGCAGAGCGCGCGGATGGCGTTGGGCCGGTAGATGAAGTCGCCGCTGCCGCCGGTGTCCTTCATGATCGTGCTAGTGACCATGATGATGTCCTCGGCCGAGTGGGCGAGCTCCTTGATGACAAGGTGGACCATCTGGCGCAGGCTGGCATCCTTGTTCTGGAACAGCTTCGAGATGCCAAAGAACAGCTCCGTGGCCTCGGTCGTCGGGAAACGCTCGCCGGTGTAGAGCAGCAGGGCGATCTTGGTGAGCAGGATGCGGCATTGGCGCGGTTGGATGGGGGAGCGGTTGAAAAGACGAGCTGGAGAGAGGGAACAAAAGACGGGTGTCAGTATGGCCTGGCGAGCGGAGGATCATTGGGATGCCCGCTGCCTTTTCCCGAGTAAACATGAAGCTATTCCCGGACTTGGCAGACAACTGAACTGACCTTCTTGGAAGACCTGCGTGCGGTCAACGCGCACGAGGCTGCCGTCGGCATCCTCGTCCCTCTTGCCGTAGTTCATTGTGGACGGCAAAATGGCGGCAATGGGTGGACAGGATGGGGTGGTAGAAGCGATGGAAGTCGGTGGGAGGTTGCGAGGGGACACATCTGCAAGCTGAGAATAGGGATATCGCGACGTATGCCAAATTCCCCCTTGCCCCACTTGCCTCACATTGGGGGGAAGCTGCACACCGATTCGAGAGTCACGTGCACATTAGTGCGGCAGGCTGAAGCCATTATTAGGGTCACTGAAGCAAGTGGCCAAAATTTAGAGCGCCACATTTCACTAGCCACAATCAAAGTATGTCGTACTCGCTGGCGACAAGGTAGCAGCTTTTTGAATCGAATGCTTCATGTATGTGCAACGGCGAACATAAGTTCGATACTGCCTTGTATTGTAAATACTTACGACGGCACTCGAAAAAACAGATGCAGAGAAGAAAGTACGGATCAACCCTTTCCTGTCTGAAAAAGAACTGAATGCGAACCATGAAACGCGGTTTTGCCAGGGTGGCACCGGCAAATCGCCTACATCCACAAAGCCGGTGGCTTTTGTGAGGATGCTTATGAGAGCAGGGTTTGCTTGCAAGCTGTAGCTACGTCCTCTGCTCTATGGTCGTTGGACGTATACCGGACGGCTTCGCTGCTCTCTGTTTGTTTTCCGGGAAGCCCGTTTGGCCATCCCGTCAGGTCGCGGCTATATGACTGTTCACTGCTCCAATGGCTGTGTCAGTGATTCTAGACGTCGACAACTTCATAAGGTGTGAATCCACTCGATACCTGTACTACCAGCATCGCAATATTGCTATCGATCATGGCAACAAAACGAAAACGGGAATGAGCGGCTCACGCGGCGTGCCGGTGTTGTGTGGCCTTTTTGCCTCTCCTGATGTTTTCTATCTTGTAGTTTAGCGAGAGCCATCGGCTCTGCACCTTGTGTGCAGTACTCAATATCTACTATCCATCGGCCCATCCGTCTTACCCACTCGATTTTGATACTGCCGGCTTCAGTTTCCTTTCCAATGCTGGGTCCTGCTGATTTTGTCCTCCGCACTTCACGCGTCGAATTGTTCTACAGTATACTTCAATTCAATAGGCTTCAAAACAGCCTCGGGAACGCGCGATTATGGGCCATGCTATGGCCACTGGGCCTAAACAGTGCACTCCACAGCCCTTCTCCATTGGCACGGCATATCCACCTGCCGAAGGAGCGCGGCTTCAGTCTGCAAATACAGAATCGCCATGACTCTGAGTCCTTCGCTTCCACTATGCGTGCATTCACGGCAGATAGAGGAACGCAGTACAACGGTCGCCGGTCTGACAGCGTAGAGGCCAGTCTCCGGTGGAAGGTGCATTCCGAGGGCTCATGACGCCGGACTGAATGGCTGTCGACTGCTTCAATGGCTCAGATGCATGTCACGGCAGGTACATCACAGCATTGACGTTGAGGAAGGTGCGCTCTTTCAAGCTCGTCTCACTCTTTCCTGTTTTGTTCTCTCACGTCCTGCTGGCTATCGGACACATGGTGACATTAGATAACATTTTTGGTTAGGCCCCTTCCATTTTCGTGGCCATAGAACGTACTTGCCTCGACTTGACCCATTAGACGATTTACGAGGACCGCTCTTTCCATTATTGGTGACACGTACATCCTTCCACATTGTCGTTCCGTTTCTTCCGGCTTTGTTTCTCGCCCCTTTCTCCTTTTCTGCGTTACCTCTCTATGTTGCCGATCCTTTTCTCTCTCCAACCACTCCTTTGATTTCTCGTCATCGTCATCATTGTATCATTGTTTCGTTATCCTATTCACATACCTGGTGTCCTGCCACCCCTTCTATATGCACTGCCTGTCGTGTTCTGCGGCTAAAATTTGCAACCACGACTTGTATCACCACTTTGCACCATCTCCGAAAGCACTTCGCAACCTACCGGGCTCTCTCGAATATGAGCGAAGACGAAACCTTACAGGGTTTCGAATTTGCTTTTATTTCGCCACCGTGTGCAGACCACAGCACTGTTCGTGTTGAGGGTCGGTTTCAAACCTATCTTGTCGGTTGGCAGCCCCGTTTTCAAATTGGGTACGTATCACACGTAAGACTCCTATGTCTTGTCGTCTTTTTCAACGTTGATAAAAACTATGCCATTTTCTTTTACTGCTTCTTGCCATAATGCAGATACAATTTTTGAATCTGTGCGATAAGTTTTGATCTCACCATGCAGCATCAACCGATCCCATTTTTCTCTTCGTGAAATTTCCCCCTGAATCGGGCCAACATATTTGTCTGTACCTCGACACAAAAGACGTATAAATTTACAAAATATCTCTCTGCATATACTTCAGAATCTGGAGAGTATGGCAAAGCCAATTTCATTGAAATAGTCCCACGGATGGTCTCGCAATGCTCCTATGACCACTTTGTGCATCATTGGCTTTCACGTCCTGTTTTTGGTTGCCAAAATACAACTGCTGCCTCCCTTTCCCGATACTGCTGCGAAAACACACAGCCCAAGGCCACAAAGTTCCTGTAAATGGAAACTATGCGTCTGTTGTCTTTGTCTTCTTTTCTCTTGTTTACTTTCGACAATTTGACACCACCCTCAGTTTTCGTCAGATTATAATCGGCGTTTTCGTCCCTTTCCTTCCCCTGTATTTTGTTCTAGTTCCCATCCCGATGTTTTTTTTTTTTGCCTCATTTCTTTGTTCGGTTGACATGTTTTATAAAGGCCATTGATCTAACATGTTGTCATTTTGTCACTAGGCCTATCCTCTTCCCCGAGGGACATTACACTGAGGTGTACCGGCGTCCCATCCGACCGTACGAACAACTTCGTAACTTGATTGCCAGCAATAAAGCAACCACCTCCCGACCACTCATTCCTGAGCATCGGAGACTCCAGAGCTCTCACCTTGCTACAAGCCCCTTCAACCAACAGACTTCACCACATGTAACTGCAGAGGACTCGGTCCATACTTTAGAAGACATGAGATCCAAGTACCGTCCTCTGGGTGAGGCATACGGTGATTCATACCGCACAGCGACAAGACCTATCTTACAGTCCCGCTCAGCTGCAGTGGAATCGGACGTTGCAGAGACAGGCTCACTTTGTCAGCCTGGCAGCACCAACTGGCTCGTCCTAAGAGGTCGTGAGCAAGTCGAACCAGGCATGCGTCCCATTTCGCGCTTCCAGCCTGCCACGGTATATGAGGATGTGCCATACGATGGAGCAATTCGCAACGTCTTGACACCCTCAGTGCCGGCCATCATTGTTACGGCCCCGGAACCTTCGGATGAGTATTTGCTGCACCAGGTGCAGTTCGGCTCGGCTCATCTCGCGGCCGGACGTGATGAGTTTTCTGGAGGCAACGCCATGATTGACCCACAGCTCATGCAGCTCGAGTCCCAAGCTCTTCTTACCGCCACAGTCAATAACGAGACCAGATTGTCCTATACTGAAGACCAAGTTCGTGGCGCCCAAGAACATGCTGACGATGACATGGGAAGCCATTCCATGCAAACATGCCCACTTGCTGTTTCTGAAAGTGACTATGCTTCTGAAAGCGATGTGGCCGCCCAAACCGTGGCCGAGTCGCCGCATCCAATGGCACCTGATTTGGATAGTTCCGGCCACGTTCTGTCCAAGTTTTGTCTTCCGGAGGTAATTGACTTAACCACATCTGATGATTCCGAGCCTTGGTCGGCTCCGAGAAGTCAAGTGATTCTTGCTCAAAATGAGCACAAGGACGGCAAACAACACTTCTTGTCTGGAACAGTTACACGTGCGAACACCACAGGTTTGGATTCGGATATGGGCAGAGAAGCCTCTAAGGCCCGCAGAAACAACCTTTTTGTGCAAGGCACAGCCAGTCTTCCTGTAAGACCATCCACTCACGGAAACCCGCGCTTGGCGAGCGGGTACCAGCCTCCCCGTCAGCAGCTTTTGGATGACAGCGAGAGGCAGGATCCGACATTTGATCCCAACCGCCCATCGAAGCACGCGGTAAGCACCCCCTCGAGCTCAATGGAGAAGAGACGGCACCTTGATTTAGATGGCAGCGCTGCTGGTGACGGCTATAATGGTAAGAGTAATCATCTGAAAGGCGGAGAGACCACAGCAAGCGTTGGACTCAGTGGTGTTTCTGAGAGCCCGTTCCGAGATGAAGCCGGGACAGACTATACTGCCAGCAACAATTTCCAGAATTGTTGCAACGGCGGACCAAGTTCAAACTTCGAGTCCCCGGAGGCTTCTGCTGATCGTCAGTACCATGACGAGCGCATCAAAAATTTCCGGTTTGGCAGCGGTCTTTACGGCATCGTCAACTACAACATGTGTCCTAGATTTGGCCAAAATTGTGTCCACGGAGAGCCGCTGCTAGGTATGTCCAACTATTTCCGTAACACCGAGGCAAATGTCGAGGAATGTGCGGAAAACGGCCACGTTCTGCTCGCTCCCATTTTAACTCCACGCCAAGCGGCCATGCAACCAGTTCCGACAGTCTCCCTTGCTCAATCCTACTGGGAACACACATCTGAATATGGGCAAGGTCAGCACCACAGCCTACCGCTTGTTTCACCGTCCACGGGCGTACCGCACCCTACGTTCGAACCGGGCGACTTCTTGCGGATGCGTCAGGAAGAGCAAGCGAAGAAACAGCTTGTTGAAGCACAGGTTCAAGCACAGCAATCAACCTTGAGGAAGGCCGAAACTGAGTCCCAGGCTCGGAAGCTAGAACAGGCTCAAGTCCCGGCACTTGCCCTTGAACAGCAGCTGGCACAGGCCGAGCAGCTTCGCCAGACACAACAGCTACCCCAAGAGGAGCAGATCCGTCAGATGCAGCAAAGTGCTGCGGCGCAGCAAGTCTCTGTGCCGTCGCCACAACTTTTCCAAACTTCCAACACCTTAGTTCAGGAAACGAACCATGCAGACTCACGGCCCACTAGATATAGCCGGCAGGTCACACTGGATGGAAGTGACTTGCAAAATTGTACCCTTCCCCAGTCAATTGAGCAGTCCACAGCGAGTCGTCTACAGGTCTTACCGCCCAGACTTGCGTCACAGGAGCCGTGGGAAGGCGACGACGAGTTCTATGTCGACTCTTACATGTCGTCTTATCGACCGTTCCACAGCACTCAGCGACCGGCTACGGCTATGCACCAAGGGCAATCAAGCACCACAACTCGTCAGCAACCATCTGTGACCCATCCACAATTGTCAGCTACGGCTGAACCCTGGAAAAACTCTGCAAGTGGCATCGTCTCTGGTGAACAGCAGCATTCTGCAGATTATAACAGACCAGTTTGGGGGACGCGGACCCAAATCGGCCAATACGGGTATTTCGAAGAGGTCAGGTACCCGCATGACAGAGATGATTTGGACTGAGTCTCCCGGAAACCAGACATGCAGCCTGATAGTGGTGTAGGCTTTGTGTATGTAAGTCTCTGTCACGTCTTGATCCGTTTACTTTTCGCGATGAAGAACACTTGCTAACTATGTAGTTCCATTCGGCCAATCATATCGTGCGAATCTGCTCGACACCCTACCTTTATTCCCTTTACGGCAGACAGCTAGGCGGACGAGAGAGGCAAAAGTGCCGAGGGAGGCAACACATGAAGTATTGTGCGACAAGCATTCAGCCACATGGCTTTCAAGGTTCAACACCTTACTTTGCTTTATATTTCGACATCTGGTTCTTTTCAAGATGGTCATTCGTTCGACCATTGATTGTTTTTTACCCTCCCCCCCCCCTTTTTTTTACAATGATCATCTTTTCTTTGTTTGGTTTTGCAATTTTGACTTTTCGTTCACCTTTCGCCGCTGCCCACATTCCATCATCCATCCTTTGTTGGCATGCCTTTAGTAGCAACAACAATATGTGATCTGCTTTACCCTATACCAGGTTTTATGACTTTTCTGCTTGCTTGCACCGAATATCACTCATCCATCTTGGCCTTACCCATATGACCCTTACACTTTGAGGAGCCTCTGGAGTGCGCAAGACAACAAGGCTAGTCTTTGAATCACACAGGGCGCCTGAGGAACAAGTACGAGAATGTGGAGGTGCCTTACGAATTTCGATTTCGGTTCGGTTGTCCCTTTGTTCACTTCTCGCTTCCTCTATTTCCCCACAGATGCTTGGTAGCATACGTCCACCAGTAGTCCATATGTCCTCGTTCAAGAGCTAGCCCATTTGATTGTCGCTGGGAATCTAGGAAACCTACAGTTTCGACGTCAGATGGGGAGGATGGTCTCTCGGTATCTTGCATTGCAAGCCCCTGTGCCAATACCTTTTACAGTTTTCCTTCTTTCTTTTTTCTTCTGTTTTGTCAAGCCAGCCAAATGACGCATTCAACATCGCATAGTTCTCGGACGGTTTCGTTTGTTTAGCTCACACCAGTTTGCTTAGTACTTTGTTCACAAAATAATCCAAAAAAAAAAAACAATGACCCGGCACAGTCCACGAAGCATTTGACAGAGACGTTGTTGATGTAGCATTTTAATTTGTGCAAGCTTCTTCGTTGCTTAATCCTATGTATATGTATATATATATAAACTACAAGTACCACCCTTTGTATGTCCATCCGTCCCTTTCTTTCACAACTAGCTGGCTTGGTGGTAATACTTATGTCATACCAACTACCAACTAGCTTTTTTGTCGAAAGAGGCACATACATCCTATCCATCTTAAAGTACAAGTAGACAAGGACAAAATTGGGGGGGGGGAAGATGGGACACGGACATGGACATATGTAAGCACAACCATGGAGAGAAAGTAGAAAACAGATAAACGAAGCACGGATGAAGGGACTCAAGCAACGAAAGAGACAAAAGGAAAGAGACAAGAAGAAATGCAATAAAGGTATTTTTAATCCCGGTGCAATTAAAATGTCTGAGAACCCAAGGCCCAAGGTCGGTGACAAAAAGAAGAGAAAAGAAACAAAAGTATCAAAAAGGTAATGCTTCTAACGAGAGAGACGGTAGAAAAAGGTCTGCCTAACCAAAGTATGCAGACAAAAAGTGGTATACAGTCAAAAACTAAGATGACGAAGCGAAAACGTAAAAAATGGAAGGGTAAGAAAGCTATTATGTATAGTCGAGATTTAGCAGACCTCTTTGCTTTACTACAGCGCAGGGTATGCACTACCAGGGATCATGCCGCTGGTACCGCCGGAGGTGCTTGTGCTGGGCCCTTGGGGCCCGCCTGGTGGCCGTCGACCTCCGGCGCGCAATGAAAAGTCCGGATTGCTGTTCAGTAGAGTCTCGTTGGTGTCACGCACTGGCCGGCGCGGGACTATGCCGCCCATACCGCCGCCGTATCCGGGCATCAGGTTTGGTGGTGGTGGGTTCCAGCGCGGGTTGATGCCGCGCTGGGAGATGGAGGTGAAAGTCGACCGCTCAGACTCGGCTGGGCTCCGGGAGCCCTGAGGCATGTCTTCGTAGGAGTTGTTGTTGGCGTTCATGGCTAGCGGCTGCAGGTTCTTGCGAGGCTGGGCAGCCAGACCGCTCTGCTGCGGTTCAGCGAAGCGCGGGTCAACATCCTCGATGTAAGCCTCTGAAGTGGCTGGCCGGTCCTCGGGGAGCTCCGAGGCTCCATGCACTGGCGAGTTGGCGGCACTACCATTTTGTGCTTTCCAGGCAGCGCGTGGGGGCAAGTACTGACCAGTACTCCCCGCCTCGCTGACCTGAGATGTCCGCCCTTGTTGCAGGCTCACCATGCCCGCAATGTCGTCGTCAGCCTCGGCAAAGCGGCTCACCTGCTGGTGTTGCGGTTGAGGCGTGGTCGCATCCATCTCAACAGCCTGGTCCCGTGGGCTGGCGGCGCTGACGTTTGCGACACCAATGTTATCTGGTAGCGGCGGCGGGGATTCTGCGCGCGGCAGATCGCCAGATGTGGACGAAGGAATCTCATTGCGGTAGGCAGTGTAGCCATTGCCGCCACCCATGCCGCCATCGTTTAAGCTTGTCCCAGAAGGGTTGCCGTAGTAGCCATTGGGGCCCGGGGAGCCTCGCGTGCCACCACTGTAGGCCTCGGCCTGGTCATACCGGTAGCCCGGAGGTGGTGTCCGGCCACGGCCGGGGCCTGCGTAGCCACCGCGACCGCCATATCCACCTCTACCTCTGCCATTTGGCGGAGGACCACCGTACCCACCACGTCCACCCGGTGGACCGTAGCCCCCACGACCACCAGGACCAGGACCGTACGGGCTATAGCCCGGGCCGCCGCCGCGGCCACCACGATAGCCAGGGCCAGGTCCTCCACCGCGACCTCTTTGTCCGGGAGACATGTTGTTCATCCGCTCTACCGACGGACCGTGGCGCACACCGTACTCTTGGGGCGGTGGGCTGGCCGGGTTACTGCCGTACGGCAGAGGATTGCCGTAGGCATCGCGCTGAATCGACCGACGCTGGCCAGCCGCGGCACCAACTGCGGCACCAGCAGCTGCACCAGCGGCACCCGACATCATCATGGCCTCGGGACTGCCGCCACCATACTGGTTGCGCTGCTGCGAGTAACGGTTGGACAGCTGGGCGGGTTGGGAGGTAAGGGGGATCTGCTCGTCGCTGCTGGCGGCGTCCCCCTTCTCGAAGGAGTCGCCGTTGCTACCGGGTCCGCCAATTCGGGGCAGCGCGGGCTGGCGGGGTGCCGGGGACTGGGACTCAGCCATGACGCTGCTGGCATTGGCAGCGTTGACGGCGGCGGCGGTTTGGGCCTGGCGGTTGTAAAAGTTCTCACCGCTCATCTCGGCGTTAGCGGCGATGCGGCGCTGGCGCGACTTGCGGCCTACGACGGTACGGCGCATGGCACAGGCGACGATGCTGCTGAGGCCGATGAGAATGACAGCAGCCAGGACGATGAAGGTGCCCCAGGCCATGTGGGGAACGAAGAGCAAGATATCGATAAGGAAGGCCAGGAGGGCGGCAAGGAATGTGAAGATGCTGATGATGAAAACCAAGAGGAGGTAGCGAGCGGAGTGCGAAGCGGAGTGGAAGTGGGCGGTGATGGCCAAGATCAACATGACCAAAGTTAGGAAGGCGGCGACAGGGTGGAGCACGAGGACGGTCGACAAGGTTGCGCGTGTCGAGCCTGGCAGGTCGAACGTGGCCGACTCCGTAGAGGAGAAGAAGGATGCTGCGACATGTTAGTAGGTGCACAACGGGAGAGGCGGTGATAATCAATAATGACAAAGAGAAAACTAGCAAGGAGACAACGTACAGGTATCGTAACCCAGCTCGACGCCAGTGCAGGAGCCATCGGGACGGCAGTAACCAAAGACACCAAAGTTGTAGCCCTTAAAAGACCCGAGCGGGACGCCTTTGATCAATGGCGTAGATAGCACGGAAAGGAGGAGCATCACAAATGCCGCGAAGAGCATCACCGTCAATGGGGTCGCGGGGCGAATCATGTTGGCGGTTGTGAGAAGGCGACCGGAGGGAGAGAAAGCGAGATAGAGAGGAGCCCTCAAAGGGCGTGCGCAAACGCGCTCGGGACGTCACTGCTATAGGTGTCCCTTGTCAAATGGATCAAACCCGAGTTAAAGAGTTTATCTATGCCGTCTCGGGCGCCGAAGGTTGTGAGAGAGATCAAACGGAGTCGGCGTCGGCGAAAGCGAGCACATGGACGCAAAAGGAAGCCGACCAATTCGACGTGTACGGCACGGAGTAGATAGGGGACGACGTAAGGAAAAGCGCACAGTCATGCAGATCGACAGACTGTTTGTCGGCGGAGGTTTGAGAGGATTCAGTGTTCCGATTCGTGTCCACCGCCGAGATGCACATGCACTGCAGCACGAGGTCGCACAGGAGAAGGCAATGTTCGCGTTTCAAGACAATGGGGGTCGAGAAGAGTAGTCGAAAACAGTCGAGAGAGAAGGGTGCGAAGAAGTAGGGGATAAGAGGGCGACAGGGTAAGAGAAGCGAAAGAGAGTCGTCGAGTTCAAAAGCGAGTGAGTTGATAGACAAGTCGGGGGCAGCAACCAGGCGCGCAACAATCAAAGAAAGCGAAACAAATAGGAGACACAAAAAAAAGGAGGCCGAACGAAAAACAAAAGTCGACAGTCGAAAGACGAATTCGAAAATTCGAAAAGATAAAATATGGTGAGGTAACCGTCGAAGAGATCTCAGAGAGACCGGACAAAGCGAAAGGACGGGATGGAGGCGAAATGTCCTTTCCGAGGCGCGACGAAGAGAAAAAGAAAGAGTGAGTGTGAGTGTGAGAGAGATTCAAAACCACAGCGAGATAGTGAGGGCGGGCGAGAGATTTGACCAGTCTTTAGACGCGATATTGCGACTCTGGCTGTTGGAGACAGCAGCAAAGTGGGCCGTTTAGTTGATGTGGGAGCGACAGACACGCCTATGTGGAAAAACCAGATTGAGTACCCGTACTCAGTAGGAGCAGACGCCAACGGAGGAGAGGAGGCTTAACCGGTTCCAGTATTTTTCGTTTCCTTTCCACTTTTTTCTTTTCTTTTTAGGCGAGGTTTAGTTCAATGCGTCAAGTCGACAGTGTCCGAGTATGTAAGATACGGGGAACTGATGGGTATTGAGCATGGTCAATGGCGATTGCGACGAGTGACGCCGCACGTACGGCAGCTGGGCATTCAAGGTCGGACTGGCATGCGGCTGTGGTCGATCGACAAAGAATAAGTGAGGTGAAGCAAGAAGAAAGTTGAGAAAAAAGGAGACAAGAATGGGGAAGTCGACAAACTACGAAAAGGGGGGGGGACATCTACTACATAGCCGCGATATAGGCAAGAGCCTGGACAGCAGAGACGAAGACTGGGAAGGTGCTGGTGACAGTCTGGACAGACCTGCAAGGGAAGGAGGAAAGGGCGACGCGAGCCTGCAATGGGGAAGGTGCGAGTGTATTGGTGGTGGCAAAGCGATGGTGTACTTAAAGTACAAAGATATTGTGCAGTTTTATATGGAAAACAAGTACCATTCGCACCGTTGTTGTACCTCTTCAACAAAAGGTGTGATGCAGCCAACACGATAGCGCCTTTCCGGACAACTTTAGTGACCAAAAAAAGGGGATAAATATAGAGTGGCGCGCTATGCACATTCTTGTTTACTGGATGGCGCATTTCTCCAGTGCACAATTGCCTTTTCTCCAGGCGCTTGCCCCGACCGAAAGGCTGTGCCTGGCTAGTATTGGCGTATGTCGTATGCGTGATGGGATACTAAATACTGGGTCAAACGTAGCAGGATCCTATCCGCTCCAGCGCGATTACTACTGGCTCAGAACTTGTCGCAAAACCGCTGCCTGCAGGAGCGGCCATGCCAAAATACACACTTGTGACGCAACCTGCTGCAGGTGCATGTGCAGAACCACGCTGAACAGGGAAAGAACGAGGCTCAGCCACCATTTGTTGCCACAGAACGTTGGGGGAGACTGAGACGCAGAAGACTAGCCTTTGCTGCGACGATGCGGAACATTGCCATGACAGAGAACCGCCTATGCAAAACGTCACGCCTCGTCGCAAGTCTGGTCTACGCCTCTTTCATATTTTTGATCCGTTGTTTGTCGCTATTCATTCCTTGTCCAGTATGACTGGATCCCGTTTGCACTTGGTCGTACCTACCCGTCTGCTTCCGTTCTACTTCCCTGTGTCCCACATCCCAGCAACGTCCCAATAAGGAGGGTGCGGACCTGGCCCTGTTGGCGACGCTTTCCGACATGCCAGTTAATTTACTGATAAAAAGAGACGGCAAGGATAGTATGGACTTTTGATGTTCCACGTTGTGCCATGGCACGGAATGAGAGACGAGGACTAAAAAGCAAGAATGCAAGTATTACACTTACGACGTAGGTGTGCGACGTTAGCAAGCATGCATGCATGCATGCACGGGGAGCTACGTCGCTTGCCTCCTACGTCGTGGTCTTTTGTCGACATTGGCCAGACGGCGTTGCGGTGCACCCAGCCGATGGGAAAGGGGAGTGGGGCCTTTGAGGCCTTCGTCCACTCTTTTTGGCAGGACGGACAATAGATGGCAAGGTTCTGCAAGTCTTCCAAGTCAATCGAATACGTCGTAGAAGAGACTAGGAATGAGGAGAGAGACAAGGGGCGGGAGATTGGCCAAGGATGGGCTAGTTGTAGCTAGCTGGCTTTACTCAGTAATGAGATCGGACGAGTGAAGACGCTGGACGCCGAAAAAATGAAGAAAATACACTGTCCGGAGCACGACATATTGAAAACACTTTCGTGGAATGTAAGGCCTGGCCAGGCCCAGAGACGAGTGGTGTAGATGGCGATTCGCAGATGCGGGTGAAGCGAACCGGTCCTTCCTTTGGTGGGCATTGCCAGGGAGCGCTTTCCGAAATGCAGAGCTTTAACCGTGGCAAACAGAAGAAGGTGCAACCCGACAGTTAGCCAACAAAGGAGGCCGCCGCAAACTGGTCATGACGAAGCCACAGAGGTAAAACAGGAAAGAACGAACCATCGCAATCTTTTGTGTATTCAGCTGCCTTCGCTTTCTTTCATCGGGGGACGTCTTGATCGTGCCAGACCTGGGAAACCTGACAGCACATAAGTGACAGCCTCGTTTCCCACTAAACCAACCGAAAGACGACAGAGATGGCTCTTGGCCTTGGTTTATCGAGGCTATGCCGCTCTCACTCTCGAATCTTCATTAAGATTGCGACAGTACAATCAATCCCCACGGCCTTGTCCCAAAGTAGAAGGACCGGCTGTTGCTCTTCAAAGCAATCCCGTTTCTACACAAGATATGCGCCCAACTCAAGATTAACTGAGATAAAAAACGGCAAGCCACAAAAAGGAAACCGATAAGTACAACGTACGAATCCATTGTCTGTTGTTGGAAGGACAGGGCAAAAGGTGAACAGTATTGTGATGCTCGACGCGATACCGTTGGGAAATCGCCAAGGGTGCATTGGCTACAAAGGGCAAGAGCGGCAGAGCGGGTGAGGGTCGGGCCAGCTCTTGCTCACTGTTCATGCTCCCGATCGCCAATTGCCTCATTGCTGAGTGTATCACGAAACCCCATAACCCAACAATGGCCTTTGTCAGGCCCTGCAAAGTGCTGGTGGCTCATGGACGTCCCATTGATCTGGCCCGCTTTACTCTCCTTTTCATCTCTTTTCCGCACCAGGTAGACCAGCGTCAGAATATTTGGCCTGGACAAGGATGCCGTGCCCTGTCTGGCCCTGGTCAAGTCACAGATTTGGGGAACGAAGGAACAGGAGTGAAAACTATCGACGCGCACGGCAATTTTAAACTCCAATGATCGCATCTGCAGTTCTTCACACAAACGACAACAGACCCGGTCAAGAGGGGTATCGATTTCCGTCTTTCTTCGCTTGACCTTGTCATAATTCAAATGTAGCTCTGCCTGCTGAGAACGTGTGTTTGCTTCTCTGCGATCTACGATGCAGTTTCTGGTCTCCTCTGGTCCGCCCAAAACACGTTACAGAATCCCACGGCTCCACTTGTTAGGGAAATCTCAATGTATCTCACCCGTTGTTTTCAGTCTGCGATACACTTCGTTCAAGCTTTTCATTCTACGTTGTAGTTTGCTCTCTAGACCGGGCTCGCATAAGAAACGAGGAAACGAACACAAGAGCGGCAAACCTCTTCTGATACGCCGTGCTCAAACGGAGGAGACAAGCGGCCAGGGTAGAACACTCCTCCTCGTCCCCCGGTCGTTTTAAGTTTCTGATGTTCCAGAAGCAATCCCAAGATAAAGTTGCTCAGCCACAGTTCCTACGGCTGGTTCAGCTCACGTTCACATCTCAGTACTTCATTTGTTAAGTCGTACAAGAAATGAAACTGTGAAATCGTCGCGAAGTTTATGAAACTACCCCATACATTGGCCGTTAAGATATGCCGTACTCGTCAAGACATTTTTCGAGATTCCTCGAATATCCACTCCCAACACAGCAAATATATCAACTGTCTCTGTACTTAGATTCGCTGATCACCTCCAAGCCAGCCTTGGGTCAGTTCTATGTCAGGTACACGATAGCTACCGAGACCAAAGCTGCCATTGCCACGGCCATTGCCGGCTCAGTAATCGCCGTCGACGTGCCTGCACTCGTCACAGAGTACGAATAGCTGTGAGTGGCGGCCGTCCGTGTGCCGCTCGGTAGGCTGTCGCTGAGCGCTGTGCCCGGCACCGTGCCAGACGGCAAGCACGAAGCCGTCACAAAGACCGTCCCCACGGTCCCCGTACCGAGCACGCTGGTCGAATTGGCAGCAGACGGCGGGGACGAAGAAAACGCAGTTGCAAATATCGTCTTGGTGAAGGCCACCGTGACACTCGCCGTCTTGGTCACCACATCGACGGGAACGTGCGTTGTTGTCTGGCTTGAGATGTTCAAATCCATCGCGGCGTCCTCTTTGTCCTGCTGGAGGTGTTCGTACAGTGCCTGGTACAGAGGCGTGCCGTCCTTCAGAGAGTTGGATTTTGCAAGCTCGACTCCGTGCACCATCATACCGCCGAAGCTCGCACGGCCCTTGAGCTTATCGGCCAGAGCAATGGCCTGCTCATCATTCATGTAGCCAATGACGTCGTTAACAGGTGGGAGTCCAACGTACAGCAGAGCATCTTTGCTCATGCTGTTGCCCACAAGCTGTTCCCATGCTTCATAGTAAAATCCAGAGCTGCCAGCCGGGCACAGGTCGTTGCCAAAGAACTGGATCCAGAGTTTGTCGAATACGACCGTCGAAATCAGGTCTTTGATCTGCGAATAACCGTCCGCCATTGGACAACGCGGTGCACCAGTCATGATCATGGTGCGGCCTTTCGTCACAGCGTTGTGGTCATCCATGTACCAGCGAAGTCGGTTGAGCAGCGTAGTGTAACCGTCCGGCTGCACGAACTGGACGTCGATATCAAAGTCAAAGCCGTCTAGCACGGTGTGCGTGCCACTATCATCCAGATCGAAAGGACGTGCTCCTCTCCACGTCTCATCATATGGCCCAAAGGCCTTCCAGAGAAACTTGGCAAAATATGCACCGCCCGCGGCAGTCGTGACCTCATAATCATTGGCCAGGTCCTGGACCCAGGGGCCGCTAACCGAGAGGAGCACTTTCTTGCTCAGGTTTTGGCAGTGGAGAATGTCCATGCCCAGCTGGGTACAGTCCGATAGCTGCCGCGAGGGCTTGTTGTCTACCCAGTCGTAACTAAAGTCACAATTGTTACCAAAGTTGATTGCCGGGTAGTTTGTTGCCGAGTCTGCCTCAGACGACGCCGTCACATACGCGAGGACAACCGTGTCGAATCCTCCAGCATCACAGATTCTGCCGAGCGTGTCTGTCCCAGATCGGCCCTGTACAATGGAGCGAGAAAAGGCGACCTGTTAGACAAACAGGCACTGAAAAGTGAGCAGACGAGACTACTGTATCTTGTACGTACGAAGTACACTGTCACACCAGGTTTCTGACCATTCGCCATGCCGAGAGCCGGCGCCCCGGCGCCGGCAGCGAGAAGAAGCTTGGTTGCGTGCATGTTTTGCAGCGTTTGTCGATAGTGACAAAGTGAACGTCAGTGGAATGTGAAAGGGTGAAAACGAGCGAAATGTGAGTACAGGGTCTGTATTCCACGAAAAGAAAAGAAGAAGAAAGAGCAAAAGAGAAACAGGAGTCGGCCGGAAGAAGCGGACAAGCTGCTAAAAGACGACGCTGAGGATGAAAAGCAGAGGCTGAGGGTTGCTGGGGGAGACAGGAGAGAGAGAGAGCAGGGAACGAAGGGAAGACATATTTTGCGAGGCGATTGGTTTTCTTGGAGGAATTTTCATATAAATTTGTGAGTTGTAGAAAATGGAAGGTGTGCTGAGTTGACAAAAAGGGAAGGAACGACTGGTCGTCACTATTGATGCCAAGACGTGTTTTCATCGCGGGACCCGACGACAAGGTAAACAAGAAACTGAGGGCTTCTTGACTTTGCGACGACTTTCTTCTTTGAAGCTATGCTATTGCAGAGCAAGAGGCCATGTAGCTCCGAGTTGCGCACGTGAGCAAGTCCACCAACGGCGACAAGCTTCAAAATCGAGCAGCATCGTGAGCGATGTACAAACGAGAGTTGAAGAGTAACAGCAGAAAAGGAAGAAAGAAAAAGACAATACAGCAACCGAGCTACCTTTGTTGTCCTACAACCGACCCTATCCATAGCTTACCTGTCTTTGTTGGCACGACGACAAAATCAGGTTTGTACTCTCAACCCCTTTGTTGAGGCTACAAAGGAGCCAGCAACGTGAACAAACAAAAACACGCACATCTTCCATGAACAATGCACAGAGAAGCAATAGCAATAGTCTACTTGGGATATATAAACATCACTTTTCCCAATCAAGACCTTCTGCGTTTTCTCTCTTTTGGATCTCGCGGATAACAACATCGCGGTCACCGCAAAACACAAGCACAGCGGCCAAGCCGTCGCGTAGCTTCGTCAAGCATTTTTTTTTTGGTCCTTACTTTCGTCTTCTTTTGTTTGACATCTTCTAGCCAGTCCCTTTTGCTCGGTTACTATTTCATTTTTGCAGCGTTCTGTTTCACATTTTGTCAGAATTTTCGTCAATGTTTTTTGATCGTCTGTTTGCGCGGTTTTCAGTTCATTTCGTTCCTTTCTTTTTCTCCTTTTTTGATACTCAACCATGGCTTGTTCAACTCCCACCTCACCCATCATTCCCTTTTTCGAGCTCTCCAATAACTCACCGCAGTCGCTCCGTGCGTCGCGGCAACCGCTCCCATTTGAAGACGTCCCCAAGGACACTTTTCGCAACCTCCACTCTCGGCGCCGGCGCCGGCAGCAACGACACGCGTTTTCTATTGGATATGGCTCCTCGCAGACGACATCCTCGTCTACCTCCGACCCCACTCTCATCGTCCAGTTTCACTCGTTTCCACCGTTTCGCAAGAATAGCGGCAAGTTCCGGACCTGCGTCACCAGTTTCTTTACACGTGTTGCTCGGCTCGTCCGTGGCGGAACGGCCCTACTCTGGCGGTATCTTTCATCTCACTCACGTCCGGACTCTCCCTCCTCAACTCCGCTTCTTTCTTCTTCCCCTTCACCCGTATCGTCGAAACAACCTGACAACGGCCATCGAAGGTCTCCAAATCGTTTTCTCGTCGATTGGACGCTCGATATCGTGGACGATGACCACATCGGAGCCTACACCAAGGCCGTCCGTCTACCACAACCGTGTCTCGATTTCCAGGTCGACACAGTCTTTAACTGCGTCACATCCAACATGATGTTTCCAACACCTGTGCTTGTGCTTCCTCCCGTTAGCTGTGGTAGGTCCTGCTATAGTGGGCCGATGAGATTGTCACCGCCGTCAAAGTTGCGACGGGAGACGGGCTCCAAGTCCTACGCACCGCCTCCCATGCCCCATCGCGGTCTGCCAAGCACATCTATGGGTCCGGTTGCTTTTGTCGACTGACGACTTCTTGGTGTCGCAAGCCATGTGACGGGCAGTCACAGTTTTGATGCAGCCGGATTTTAACGTCAGTGGCATTTAAAAATACTATGCGATTGTTCCTACGGTAAGGACGTAGACTAGTAAAGTTCACTTCTTTCCTCCCTAAATAACAATCACTTGGCCGTTCAATATGATAAAAGAAATGTGAAGAATTTGGATATCGCTATAAAAAACATGAATATATGACCAAAGATCGTCACCTATCGACTACAGCGGCTATACATGAAATAGTGCTCTTATATCTGATTAAGTTTTGCCTGGATTTTATCCCCCACCCTTCACGCCGTGTCCAGGACAACAACCTCGGCATCGGCCGCGCCGATGCTCTCAACCGTCAACTTGTCGCCGGCGTTGACAAAATCGACAAAGGCACCATCACCCTCGTCCAGGATGGCGTCTTCACGGCCGTCTAGGCGAATGCGTGCGCCCGGACCGCCGTTGGCCTTGTGCTTGGTCGTCATGGGTAGATGCACAAACACCTTGCGCTTGTTGGCCTCCGTCACAGCGCCAGGTTGGCCCAGACCGACCGTCCAAGTAGCCGTCTTCTGGGGCGCCAGCAGAGTTGCCCCCATACCAAAGTCGGCGTGGATTGGGATGGTACCGGGTATCTTGGGCACGGCGGCGGCCTCCTCGGCAGCCGTCGCGTCCGGGCCGGCAGCGAGCGGGCTCAGGATGGGCACAAACGCACCCTTCTCAGCGGCAGCGCGCTTAGACTCGTCGTTGAAGTTGGCAGTGTGGTAGTTCGGAGGCAGGCCGCGCTTCCATGGGACAGCCCAGATCTGCAAAAAGTGGACGGGATCTGTCTTGTGCTCGTTAAACTCGCTGTGTGCAATGCCCGTGCCGCCCGTGGTGAACTGCACGTCACCGCGCTTCACGCGATAGAACTGCTTCGCGTTGACACCGTCCTCGTGGCCGCTGCGGACCATGGAGTCGCGGTGTGTCAGCTCACCGGAGATGCCATAGCTGAAAATCTCAAAGTCGCGGTGCGGGTGCGTGGGGAAGCCCGACTCGGGCTGGACCCGGTCCTCGTTCAGCACGCGCAAAGATCCGAAGCTTTGAAACTTGGGGTTGTACCAGTCGGCAAAGGAGAAGGAGTGGTATGTGTTAAGCCAGCCATGGTTGGAATGGCCGCGGGTAGAGGACCGATGCGGCTTGATGGTGGCATGGGGCAGACGGTGAGCAGCGGCCGCCGCCTTGGCGACAGTAGAGGCAGCAGTCTTGGCGGACATATCTGTCATTTTTGAGGCAGACGGGGATAGAGAGGCAGAGGTGGGGGTGTTTGCCGGGATGTTGGCCGTGTTGTTTAGAAGATTTGGTTGATCTGCCTTTCGGGGCGAGGTTGATGTGGGCTGTGTGTGAGTTGCTAGCTGTTGATACTGTTTTCCCCAATTGCTTGGTTGATTGCAATTCTGATGACGAGATTGAGAAAATAACAAAACTCAACAACTCGGAAGGCGAAGCGTCCTTATATAGATATGTCCATCCCGTGAAGATACGTCGAGAAGCTGCTCGGCATCATTCGTTTCATCGGCGATGCTGAATTGCGCATTTGGTGGTCATCACCACCAATCATGGGCTGCTCCATTTAAGCTTCTGTAAGTCTCTGTAAGCAAAAAGCATAACTATACGATGCTGTGCGTAGCTAGTCGAAGACCAGGCGACAAGTGGCTGGAATGGCGTGGAATCCACCAAACCGCGGGTCGCCGAAACACCATGTTATTCCATTTGTTGAGCATGACAATTCAGGGCCCGCCGTCAATTCCCACAGAACTGTGCGTTGGCTAAGCGGTCGTTGTAAATTTGGCTGTCACTTTGCAGCAATTACTTGATGCTGACAATCACATTTGATGGGCGAGTTTCGGCTGACAAAGGTCTGTCAGCGCGATATGATTGGCTAACCCACTTGTTAGTTTTTTACTTAGTTCGGTACTTGTTATTTGCAAATGATTTTGGTGTGGAACTAGGTACCTTTCATACGGGGAAGGGATTTGCCCGCACATTGAAAGTCGGCACACATCTTTTGCAGGTCCGACGATGATGCTGGCTGTGTATGCTGTTGGGAAACGGTTTCATGAAAACGGTCAATTCAAGCGTCCGAATGTCCTGAGAGATCGCCTGTACGTCTGGCCAATGGGCTGACCAATAAACACAAAAAATATGCCAAAAAGGTATGCCAAGAAGGTATGGTGTATGCCAGAAAATTCTGCAAAAGACTATGCCAATAACTATGCCAAAAGAAAATATGTTCGCCATTACCAAAGAAGCATAGGACTGGAAACATAAACAAGAAACGCCAGTTCATAAATGTACACAAATGATATATGCAGTGCAGATCACAGGTCCCGACTAGGGACGGTGAAAAGCAAATGTTTCGAGTTCGGGCGTCGAGTGTAAACAGCGGACGGCGAGATGAAAAGCAGGTAATAGAAGGTAGCAGTGGCAGGGGCAGTCGACTATCCATCCTGACTAAACCGTGCCGTAAGATGTTGCCGAGCCGTTGACAGACGAGCCAGCGGCGGGCTTGATGGTGTTGCGTTTCGGCGAATAGAGGCGGAACTGGAAGAATATTATGAGGTCCTCGACAATGGTACCGAGCGAGCCCAGAAGCCACGGCAGCGCGTTGAGGAGGTACTTGCCGTCTTGGGAGTAGGCCACCAAGCTGGCTCCGTAGGTGAAGTTTCCTGTCAGGGACAAAAGGAAGAAGAGCAGCGCCAGGCCTACAATACACAAGTCGTTAGTCAAGTGTATTTGTCCAATTGAGTCCAATAGTCAACACCCCTGTCTCATGCCTTCAGCTTACCTTCACAGGACTTCTCGCGGTAGTTCTTCAAGATCTGCGGGATGCGAGCGCACAGGTAAAACACGGCGCTACAGTAGCCAAGCGCCAGGCCGATCTTGGCGTACACGTCGTCTTCCTTGGACGGCGCCGGGTTGGCAGCATCGCCGCCGCCACCACCCACAGGGTCTGTTGCATCCCATGCGCCCATGCGGTACGACACAAAGTAGCCCAGCGCGCCCACAATCCACACAGCCACCAGGCTCAACGTGTTATGCAGCCACGGGTTGCTGTCGGGGGTCTCATCTTCGCCGGTAATGATGCGGCGCAGGGGATCCAGGCTGGACTCGGACCGGCGGGTCGAGTAACGGCGGTGTGAGCCAGGCAGGCCGATGCTGGAGCTACGGCGGCGGGCCAGAAGCGGACTATCGTCCTCGCCCTCCTCGCCCTCCTCGGGAATCACCTCCTCGCTCACGTTGTCGTCACCACTTTGGCCCGCTACGGCCGTAGACGAGCTCCGACGCCGTGTGCGGCCCTGGCGAAGAAGCCGATCACGACGAGCGGACTTTGTGTTGTAGTAGAGGCACTGGGTGATCAAGACGATGTCGGCAATGCAGAAGTAGAAGGCAAGGGCAACGGCTGTTGGTGCGAGGCCGGTCCAGAGGGCGCCTGATAAGTTGGTGACATCGCCAAGAAGCCAGACAAAGAGGAATGCCATCGATAGGCCATCCGCGCTTTGGCTCTTGTAGTTCTGGATCAGTTGGGGTAGCTACGGTCCGTCGCGTTAGTAGAGTCGCCTATTTGATCTTCGTGCAAACCAAAAGACTCAAAGCACCTACCAATAGACATATCCATGCTGTTAAGCTGACGCTGCCAAATATGCCAGAGAGTGCTTCCCGGATAGTCGGTTCAGGAGAACTGGTTTTTGACTGGAGCGCCGCAGCAGCGACTGCGACTGACCGAGCAGCGAGCGTCGCAGCTGCTGATACGCGAAACACCACCATCGCGGGGGCGTGAACAGACGTGAAGATGAGTTTTGGTGTCGACTGTCGTGTTTTGAGGAAGAATCGAGCCGAAAGAGGGGAAGGAAAATGCGAAGTCGAAGATAAGACCGCGGGCATTAGAGTTCGGGTGACAGAAGAAGAAGGGGCGAACGAGCGATTGTGCGTCTCAAGGCAGGTGCAGCCCGGTCGCTCTTGCTCCTGGGATGATAGAGGCGTAACACAAAATAAAAAGACAAGTGCAGCGACCAGACGTGGCTGGACAATGTTCCGAATTTGACGTGAAAGTCAAAGCTGAGAAAGAAGAGGAGAAAAGCGGGCTGGTGGCGATGCAGTGTTATCGCGCGCCAAAATGGCACAGAGACAAGGCAAAGATAAGAAACGAGCTACGCCATATGACAGCGGCAGAGGCAGGAAATGCCCAACATGGCAGGACCGCAGGTGTTCGCCTCCTCCTTAGCGGACTTGAAGTTTCCTAATTGGGGCTAGTTCCAATCAAGCTCAACAGTACAGAAAGACACAGTGGTTGTCGCATCTACGCACTATGCGACGCCACGGGAAGAACCGAACGACGAATATGACAGCATAGGATCCAACAATCGATTCTGTCCCGTGCCAGACGCGAGGATTTCGATCATAGCTCACGAGACGTGCTTCTTAAGACATAAGATTTTGACTCTGCGGCCTCAGCCAGCCACATCCTGCCCAAGGCAATCTATTTGGATTAAAACGGCGGCTATTTTCGGATCCCCTGAAACAGTACGGAGTACACGAGACACACGCATTTTGCAGGCAAGAGCACAGTGTGCCTGATCCATTTTCCGCACGTGCCTTAGCCTCGCCTCCCATTCGCCCAGTGCGACCTATTTGGAGCGCAGTGGCTGCAGTTGGCTGCAGCCACAGGTGTTGTTCCTCTAGCAACTCAGGGCAAGAGCAAGCAGCAACCAGTCATACAGCAACGGACGACCAGCTTCTGTGACAAGCTCAAGCAATTCAGCCCTACCTTTCGGAGCTGGAGACAGGAGCATTTGTTGGTTTTGCGAAGGGAGCTTTCAACAGACACAACGACTTGACGGACGCATTATAAGAAGCAGGAGCTCGCCAGAAACGCAATACAAAAAGAGCACGCCCAACGTGCTACGCGCTCAACCTCTTTGTGTCTCGCCGATCGTCTTGACTTTTCCCTGCATATCGGATCTCCACCTTTCACCCTCGTCTACAACCTTAGATCGCATTCGAGCGTCGATTCGAAAACTGCATACAGAAGTAGTACTCGCAAACAGTCCGACGACACACCGATCTTGCTCCAGCTCAACCGTAACGCATCTTTATTCCTCAAATCATGAAGTTCGCTGTGCCTCTAGTGGCGTGCGCCACGGTGCTGCCCAGCGTGGCAGCTTGGGGAGGTAAGAAACGAAAAGAGTATTGGAAGAGAGATGTATTTGACGGCATCTTCTGCGATGCAGCATGGATTGCTGTCGATAATGCCTCCCCTTCTATGTACACACCATACATACAGGTCATGAATCTGCTTTGCCCTAACCATTCCACCCAGGCTTCGGGCACATCACAATCGCGTACGTGGCCAGTGCCTTTGTCAAGGATGAGACGGCGACGTACTTCCAGACGCTGCTGCGCAACGAGTCGTCAGACTACCTAGCCAACGTGGCGACGTGGGCTGACAGCATCCGGTATACCAAATGGGGCCGCTTCACGGGGCCGTTCCACTTCATCGACGCCAAGGACGACCCTCCGTCCAGCTGTGACGTGATCATGCAGCGCGACTGTAAGAAGGAGGGCTGCGTGATTTCAGCGCTCCAGAACTACACGTCGCGGCTGATTGACGCGGACGGCCAGCTGCCGCCCTGGGAGCACGAGCAAGCGGCCAAGTTTGTCGTCCACTTTGTTGGTGACCTGCATCAGCCGCTGCACACGGAGGACGTGGCCAAGGGCGGCAACGACATCCACGTCAAGTTCGATAATAAGTTTTTGAACTTGCACCACGTGTGGGACACCAGCATTCTCGAGAAGCTGGTGGGCGGCGTACGGGGCTCGCCTTACGGCGCGGCGCGGCAGTTTGCGGACCAACTGGTGGCGGACATCCGCGGCGGCAAGTTCGTGGCGGAGAGCAAGAACTGGCTGGACGGCATCAGCCTCGCCGATACGGAGGGCACAGTGCTCACCTGGGCGCGCGAGAGCAACGCATATGTTTGCACACACGGTAAGTGTCTCGACACGACAAGATGATGCAAACGTTTCATGGTACTTTATGAGCCTCGCAAAAATGTTAGCTGACCATTCCATTTCCCCCCCTCCGCAGTCCTCCCCCAAGGTCCCAAGGCGATCGTGGGCCAGGAACTTGGCTCCAGTTACTACGACGACGCGGCACCGGTCGTCGAGATCCAAGTGGCACGGGCCGGATACAGGCTTGCGGCGTGGCTGGATTTGCTCGCTGCCAAGATTTCCTCGAGCAAGGTTGGCGAGTTGTGAGGGTCACGATTCGGTTTTGTTTCTTGTCGTTATCAAAGTGAGTTAAGGGCAGCCCATATGAATCTGTGTATATTGTTACTATGAGTACGGCAGCTGCCGTACGGAGCACTGTGATGAGCCGTTTAAGATGTGAGTATATGATTATGGGCTAGCGACTGTGTCTTTGCTGTTTGTATTGTTACCTTGTTTCTCTCTTCACAGGACAGAATGCTAGATTATGGACTTATTAAGCTTGTTTGTCTTATGAAGGCCACCGCGTACATAGCTATCTCTCGTTTTTGGTCATGTAACCCGGTCAGTATTGTGATGGCATGAAACTGCAGGATGTGCGGATCATCACGTTGATCGACGAAAAGGCCTTGGGATCTCCAATGGAGGTTTTGGGGGATACTCACATCGGACGAACAGGGGACACAGTGTGCTTGCTTGCCAATTCAGAGGCGTATGCCTTGCTTTGTAGACAACGAGGTAATGACAATACGATTCCAACACTTGCATCTGCAACATGCCGCACCCATCGTATGAAATATGAGGTGTAAGTGATGAATACGATAAACATTATTCTTGAACAAGCCAACGGCTAAGACGGCAGCGAGCATGTGGATGGCTTTACAATTCTGTTGCATCAGACCGAATCGACGAAACATGGGTATGACACGAAAACACAAAAGGAGACTAAAAGGAATGATTACGAGTGGACAAGTTGAGTTTCTGAGACCCGTCAAAGACGGGGACGCAGGGTTGGACCGACGATACTGATGAGGAGGAGACGAGGCAGACACTGTCCGTAGCAAATGTTGAGTGGAGGAAGTGGGTCAAGCCAGGTTTGGTGGTGAAAGAGCGTAGAAGACATCACCAAAGAAATTACGACAGGGTACAATGAGAAGTGGAGGAGAAGGGGAAACAGATGGAAACAGGCAACCGACCATGTCGGAGAAATGACTTGAAGCGGTGAGAAGAACAGACGGCGACTGTATGAAAAGCAAAGGACTAGAAAAAAGAAAAAGGAGAAAAAGAAACGGGGGATATCAGAGCAACAGAAGAGGGAGGTTGACAGACAAGCTGGATAGACATTGGAAACACTGTTTCAGGGTGTCGGGCCAGGGGGACCAGGCGGAGGACGTTTTATGTCAATGTTTTGTGTGAGGCAACAAAGGTACGACATAATTGAGTAACTGAGAAATCCTAAGACGGAAAAGTGAGAATGAAAAAAAAAAAAAAAAAAAAAAAAAAAAAAAAGTAGTTTCGTGCTGGCGCACTTGTCTGGTCCACACAAACCGAAGACGATACGACAGCCGTAGAGGAACGGACGCGGAGGATGTGGGGGAGACTTTAGTCAGAATAAAAAGTAAATAAACGAAAAATGCACGCAGTGACAGGAAGAAAGGAAAACTGGCTCCTCGGCTCTCCGCATAAACGCCGCACATACATATGTCGTACTGGTTCATGGAATCGCTGTATAGAGACGGCAAGGCAGAGGCTCAGCGGCAATCATAGGACATAGGATGTCCACCATTAATTGATCTGTCCCTGTCTTTATCAGTTCAAGAGTTGAGATTGAGAGTCCAAGCAATGCATAATGTTTGGGAGGACCAGTCTCCCGTTATTTCCCCATTTCTTCCGAGATAGCTACATCATCCCAGGTGCGTGATATAGATCCTGGCGACCCAAAACCATCGGTCAGAGATCAGCGAGAGGGCCGGAATCAACAGCAGTAAACACCGCAAGTCGAGGATCGCCGGCTGGATGGGCAGAACAAGGCATGGCCAGCTAGTCAGCGCATCGACAATCAACAGAGCCGGGCGATCGCCGAGAGCATTGTGCCTGCTTCGGGTCACGGCACAGACGCCGACATCTAATGAGCCAACTGGTTTTTGCCTAGCTGTTCAAGCTGTTGCGATGGCATAGCTTTTTGTCGTTTTTGGTCCTTTTCATCCATCCATCTATTCATCTTCGTTGTTTTCGTCGTCTCTTCCTTTCCTTCTCTCATACAAGTCTTCTGCATCTCTTGCATCCTACTCATAGTACGTTTTACTCTCTCAAACAAGCGCTTATTTTTTGTGTCCACAAACTCTGGTCGAACATGTCTCATCGACGTTCAGGGTGCGAAACCCAACGCGCCTGAGGCCCTGGTTCCAGTCTCCTGGTCGAGTCTCTGTGCGGCCCAGCTCACCCGCGTGCCAAAATGCCTCTCATAGCTGGCAGAGCGCCCTAACAAGCTCGAAAATCCCTCTGGAAGCCCCCTAACAGCTTCTCAGCACACTCAAGTCTGCTGCAAGACGCCTGGTAGCTCCTTCCCCTGATTTGCACCAGAAGGACAACTTGCTAGCCAATCACAGCATGCAGAATTTTAAAGTAGTGGGGCGGTCCCAAGCACCTGCCGCATCCCCACCGCTAGTGCCCGGAACCCCCCTGCACTTTCCCTGTTAACCTCTAACAGTTCGAGCCGCATCGACGTCAAGCGAAAACAATGCGCCCCCATGGCCCCTCTCTTCTTTTTCTCCTCCATCGTGTTTTTTTCTCCATCACCAGCATCCAGGAATGCGGTACTCGCCTATGCAAGCGACCCCCGACCATTAGACGGTATTACAGCTCGGGCGATGTACCCAGCAACGAGCATGCTGACCAGGTTAAGGACCAGCCAGTGTTTGCAGCCCCGTGCCGTCTTTTCCTTGTCCTGCGCCTCATGATCGCCATAGCAGGCGCATCTTTTCTGCTCAGCATTTACTGCTGTTGAGATCGTCTGCGTTGCTGCGTTGTCTATCGTCCCATTATCGAAGCAGTGCCCCCTTTCGACACTCGGATCCCTGTGCAGCTCGTCGTGTTTGCTCCCTATGATGGACGGCCCCATTGTTCCGTCCTTGTTTTCTGTCTGGTTTTCGCCTTGACTCTTGTCGTTTGTCGTGTTTGTTTGACCTCCGCCATGACATGCATCATCACAGACACACACAGAGCCTTGAGAGATTCCCACAGGATCACTCATGGATGAAAATCATCGGTCGCCCCCAGCCCCAACAGCCAACAGCCCGACAAGATGCAACAGGCCGTCGCTGAACCCTCATCGCGTCCGCCATGTCAAGATGGCAAAGTTGCAACGCTGCCACGCTCGACAGCCTCCACACCATTTCCGCCCCAGCCGTCGAGTGAACCTCCAGCCCCTGGCCTAGTCTCCTTCTTACACACAAAACTCGACGTACTCCGTACAGCCTCCTGTGTCTTCTTCTTTTTTACTAGTGTGATTTAGGGGTCTTGTTTGACCGTTCTCCTGGGACGCCCCTGCACGATCCTGCTGGTAGGCCAGCACTGTCTCTCATCGTGTCTCTTCTGCGTCTCTTGTGCACTGGTGGTGTGGAGATCCTGCATATCCGATGTCAACGTCGGAGGAAGAGCCAGGGCGGACGTAGCCGACCGCCACCGAGGCCCTCACCACTCGCTCACCATTCCTTACAATCTGCATACAACCCACGACCCATGGCTTCGACCCACGACTCACGACTCACGACTCACGACTCACGACTCGCGGCTCACGGCCCCCAACCCTGGCTCGCCCACTTACACGACTCTCACAAAATTACATCCTAGGCATCCTCGTCCCACAACCTGGCCTAAATGGCTGTACCTGGCCGCACTTCGCGATGGCTCCACTTTGGCGCCAAGCTTAGCCAGGCCTGCACCAGCCTGCAACCCCTTCCCCTCGACATGCTTGTCAAACCTTGTTGCACATAGCATCGTCTCGTCGTCGTCCCTGGCATATAAAGAGAAAGGCTTGGCTCTCTTGCTTTATTTCTGTCTCCTCCTTTCCTGTTCTCCTCAGTCGAGAAAACATCTTGCTTCGCACTTTTTTGCATTCTTTTGTTCGCTTCGTCTTTCTTTTCCTCCACACTTCTTTCGCTTCTTGCTTGTTCTGAACTGCTGGACTGTGTTCCATTCTATCACTCTTTTTTTACAAAACATCAAACTCGACAGAAAAGGCTTGTCATCACAACCTATCGTCGTGTTTCCTTTTTATTTAACAATACCTTCTTTACTTGCTAGTCAAGCAGTCATCTGACATTCATTTTTTACCTTACCTTTTGGCCTTCTTCTTTCCTCGGTCCGGTACCAACTTTTTCTCTTTTGCTCCTTCACATTTGCTCCCTTTATCATATCCTATCCTTGATCTTCACTTGTCCGATCCGTCGGTCACCAACCACATCACAGCCAAAACATAAAACATACATACCTACCAGGACTACGTCAGTATCTTAGGAAGTACACCTTCACCACCGCCAAAATAATGTTCAAGTCCGTTCTCATCACTCTCGGCAGCGTTGCCGCCCTCACTGAGGCCTCGGCCATTAAGCGCACGCCGACCAAGGCCGATGCCAACTCTGTCAAGCGTGCCAGCAACACATGCCTGAACAGAAACGCCGTTCAGACTGGCAGTTTCGTTACTGGCCAGGTCAACGATGTCGCCGCCGACGGCCAAACCAACTCTGAGACGTGGGTATCCTTTTCCGTTTTTTAGTTGTCTTTCATTTTACGTTTTGGTCGTTCCCTTTCACATTGACTTTGTCTAACAAATCAGAGATACTTCCAACTTCATCAACTTCTGCTCCGGCCAAACCCTGACCAACGGTCTGCAAATCAAGTCGGGTTCTTGCAACGGTATTGGTAGGTTATGTCCTCTACTTCTCATTCTTCCCACAATTGCTAACAAGTGTCAGTCATGGGCAAGATCCCTGCCTCAACAAACATGGTCTCCACAGTCATCCTAAACCCTAAGCTCAACGACAACCTCGCTGCGCTCACGGATTTCAATGTTACCCTGACGGTCGCCAACCTCAACCTGGGCACATTCACCAACGCCACTAGCACCTACTACGCGGCTCCCCAGGACCTGGAGAACAACGGCAACATCATCGGCCACACCCACGTGACCATCCAGGACGTTGGCAACTCGTTCCAGTTCACCACGCCCCTCGATGCCAGCCAGTTTGTCTTCTTCAAGGGTATCAACGATGCTGGCAACGGCCAGGGTACCGTCACTACGGCTGTCACCGGTGGCCTGCCGGCCGGCAACTACCGTGTCTGCACCATGTCTTCGTCCGCCAACCACCAACCCGTGCTGATGCCCGTTGCCCAGCGCGGTTTCCAGGATGACTGCCGTTACTTCACTGTCGGTGGCAACGGCGGCAATGGCTCCGGTAACAACAACGGCGGCGGTAACAACAACGGTGGTGGCAACAACGGCTCCGGCAACAACAACGGCTCCGGTAACAACAACGGCTCCGGTAACAACAACGGCTCCGGTAACAACAACGGCTCTGGAAAAAACAACGGCTCCGGTAACAACAACAACTCTGGCAGCACTACCACCAACAACGCCGGTACGGGCAACAACAACGGTTCCGGTAACAGCAACGGCTCCGGCAACAACAACGGCGGCGGCAACAAAAACGGCTCCGGCAACAATAGCAACACGGCCAGCTCGACCACTGCCAGCAGCAGTGCAGCGGCCACCTCCAAGTCAGGTAAGAAGACGTCCTGCTCCTCCAAGTCGAGCTAGGCCACTGCTAACTATGTTACTGCTGTAGCTACCAACAATGGCTCGTCGTCCTCTTCGTCGGGTGCCATCGCTGGTATTGCGGCCCCTGCCGTCACCGATTCGGGTAACCCGGACCGGCCTTTCGAGGTCAACGGCGACACCTTTGTCAACAAGAGCGCCGCCGTCCAGCGCGCCTGCTCCATCCAAAACAACTTGTGCGCTAACGCCGTCAACTCGGGCAAAGCCTCCGGCTTCACTGTCGGCGACTGTAACACCCAAGAAGGAACGTGCAACGCGCAGTAAATGGAACCGGCGATGACTGGTAACATTGACGTCGACGTCGAATGTTTTGTGTACTTGGATGAGCAAACTTTCCACAAGTGTACTAGTACTGCAATGACGACTGTTTTTTTTCTGTATCTATTTTCCTTTGTGCTATGTCATGTTTTACATTTTTTATATCTCCCCGATGATGTGTTCCCCGTCGGGCTTTTTCATTTCCTGTTTTGCCTCCTGTCTCACTTTTCGCTTCTTTTTTGGGCCAGGACGGATCTTTTTAGTTTACTTTCAGGCTCCGTTCCTTTTAACTGAGCAATTTTTTTCCCACTGAAGAAAAGACTTAACAAAAAAGGGAATGTCTAGGAGAGACATTAAGAATGAGGGAGATGTCGGTTTCCGGCTCAAATTTTGATTAGGGATAGGATCCGGTGAATGTTTATGAAAAAAAGTGGGGGGACAAACCCGACTTGCAGAGATCTGAGAAAGAGGTCGCTCTTGAGAGACAGAGCGCAAACGAAGAAATCAAGAAAGTCTAAAGCTTTTTCCCCAACCAAAACTCAACTTCGCCGCATAAGGTGGTAGAAATCTTACGTCCTTCTGCAAACGGTGACCCGGCTTTGTTTGTGGCTCCGACAAGTACCAGGCTATGCAAGAGGCCTGTCGCGAAATTGCAACCAGACGAGCCGAGTTGAGGTACAACAGGACGGAGGACGAAGTAGAGTAACATCGTCAGTGACAGTGTCGTTGTACATACACCAAACTGGGTCCTCGTGATTCATGGCGTGCTATCCACCACCATCCCGTCTCCAATATCTCGGCTGCAAAAGGTTCCTGGGTGATTCAAGCGGACCAGTCCGATCACGTAGCACAAAGGACGGGAACACGGCCGACGACATTTCTATCCGAGGCGTTACAGAGCCGAGCCAGATAAATAAGAAAAACCTAATGTTGTATAAAATCACGGCAGGCGGCAGGTGGCAGGCAGCAGACAGGATATTATTGGATGTGCTCCATCCGTAGCCTTCTGTTTTAAAATCCCTTCTTTATTTATTTTGGTCAATTGAGAGTCCCTTCCGTCATTCTGTCTCTGTCCGGCTCTTGCGTTTGCTTGTTGTCAATGCCAAACTCACCGCCGGCACTGCCTCCGTAGCCAGAAATAAATGGATTTCTGGGGACACGAGGACTTGCCGATGCAGGACATCTTGAAGATGAGAAATAAAATTGAGAAGTAAAAGGCCGAAACAGACGGGGACCAAAAAGACGGGCCTGTCTTGCCATCGGAGTCTTTTCCTTGGACAGCCATGATGGACAGGTTCGTCGGACCATCTCGACCCATCTTTGTGTCTCTCTTTGTAACTTTAGCCCGTCGATGTCGCCTCTCACTTTATTCTGTATTTATGTCTCCTTTCCTTTTGTACATGTTAAATTTTTCTCATTTCCTTTTTTTTTCGTCAACGGCTAGTATGTTACAGAGGCCGACGGGGAACAGAGACACTGTACCCGTTGGGCCGTCGATCAGTTGTGTCGCTGTGTCTCTGTATATGGGATATATTTTATGCCTCCCAGAGAATACTCTGGTTTGACAAAATGTGAAATATTTTCGATACAAAAAAAAAAAAAAAAAAAAAAAGGAAAAACAGGGGAAAGGAGGCCAAGCTATCATTGAAGACGAAATCTATATATGACGAGGCGTCTTTCTCGTTCCTCATCCTTCCAGAATCAGTCCATACCAAGGCAGCTTCCTCGACCGTCTCGACCTTTTCCTGTCTCTTCATCGCCCACTTACATCTCCAAAATTCGTATTGATTGCCACTCATTTTTGTCGTCCCCTCGTACTTTCACAGTCATCATGAAGTTCCAGTGGCTGGCTACCGGCGCTGCCATGGCTCTCGTTGTCCTTCCTGTGGCCGCTTCTCCTGCCCGTCGTGCACCTTCTTTGCTCCATAACGACGGCAATGAACGCCTTAACAGCCAACTTGGGAAAACCAATGAGGCCCGTCATCGTCACGATGATTCCAAGCGGGATTACCGTCTGTCTGTCCCAACTGCGGAGGTCCAAACGGGCGGCGTGACCGAGGAAGTGACGGTGACGACGACGACGACCATCACGGATGTGCCCAGCTCGAGCCTTTACCGCTCCAGTGCTTCGTCCAGCTCCAGCTCCATCTCCAGCTCCAGTTCGACTTCAGCTGACGCTGTTCGCGGAACCAGTTCCAGCTGTGGGTTGCTCCTTCCTTTTTCACCTATTGCTTTTCATATTTTTTTTTGGTTTGTCCGTCGTGCCTTCTCGCTAACAATTTATTGACAGCTGCCCCTGGCGTCTTCGGCTACACGTCCGTGACTAAGCCGCCGTCCCCTTCGACGACGCCTGTCATTTGGTCCTATCAGCCAGGCGTGACATTCAACACCACTGTTGCTGTGGCCCACACGGTGACCGCGTCGTCTTCACCGACCTCGCATTCTCCTGTCTCGCCGTCGTCGGCTTCGTCTTCGTCTGCTTCCGAGACGACGGTCACCGAGTTCACCACAATTACAACTGTCACGCTTCTGACGACTGTGTCGACTCTGACGCCTGCGAGTGCGTCGGAATCGCCGTCGCCGTCGTCATCGGCACTCGTCTCGTCGAGCAGGCTCTCATCGTCTGCGTCGTCCTGGTCGTCCCCGCACGTGTCCTGGTCGTCGGTGCCCTCTACGTTCGTCACTCTCTCGGTTTCTTTACCAGCCAACTCGACCACTTTGTCGTTCATCTCGTCGGCCTCCTCGTTCTCGTCCACGTCCACTGCACTGGCACTCTCAGGTACGCTCTCGAAAACAATATCCAGCACGTCCCGGGACACTTGTCATGAGGGAACACCGACGCCATTGTCGTCTTCTTCGTCTAGTTACTGGTCGTCAACCTACTATTCCCCCAGTGCATCGCCGTCTGGCTTGCCGTTTTCGTCGTCGTCGCCTCCTCGCTGGCCCAACTCAACCAGCAGTGCCTCCACGTCGTCGTCCACCGACTTGTCGGGCGCCACCCTGACGTCGAGCATCAGTACCACTACTTCTTCAGTCTCTCCATCGATCCCGACCAGCGGCGGAGTCCAGCCACTCTTTAATGCCACGTCGTCGTCTGTGCCGGTGTCTTGGTCGGTTTCTTCGTCTTTGTCCGCCTCTGTGCCGTCCGCTTCATCCATATCCATTAGCAACAGTTCTGTGCCTTTGTCGGCCAGCTCGACTTTGAGCAGAGCGCCCCCGTTGTCATCTCTCTCGCTGTCCAATTCGCCTTCCATTTCGCCCTCCGTTCTACCGTCCATTACGCCGTCTGCTTCCTTCTCGGTGTCACCGACTCTCTCCCCGAATTCGTCTTCCCTTATCCCGGCCTCTACTCTCTCCTCCTTCAATATCTCATCGTCCTTCATCCCAACGTCAATCGTGCCCACATTGAATATCTCATCTCTAATCCGGTCTTTTGCGACCCAATCCCCCCCGTCGCCTTCGACTTCGCTTTTTAGCTCCGGCGAGCGCGTCGCTACGGCACTACCTACTGACAACGCAGGGACACCTAGCCCGCTCCCAACGACTACGGCTAGTGGTCTCTGGTAATCTGACCTACAGTATGCCAGGCAGGTTCTTGGTGGTCATCAGACAGACTGATCGCCTGGATATCTGGCTGCAAGGCAAACTACAAGAGTAGCGTCAGGAAGACGGATAGTATAGCCATTTCCCATCGGCGAATTCATGTTACCGTCTTGCATAGGAGGGTGCGGGGTGTTGGATAGTGACGAAAGGTGGAACTTGCAAGGTACTTGGGTAGACACAAAGAGCAGGTCATGGGCTGTGAAGACCGTGGAGGATTCTATCGCTCTAAAATTCGCCGCCTTGTCCTCGATAGCAATTGTTTCGTATTTTGAAAACAGGCATAAATGGGGCCCGGCCCGTTTCGTTGCCTTGGCCTTCGTGAGATCAATGGCCTGCAGTGTGTTATTTGAATGACAATTATTGCACGTACCGCGTCTGTACCATTTGATAACCTTCATTTGTTGATCTCTGCTGATTCCCTCTAAGCCCGGACCAGCCTCCATCTCATTGTCTGCTCTGTTGTCCCAACCTAAGCGTTTGTCGACGCTGATTTCGCAATGGTTGATGCTGCTGATGTCGGGTCGCGGTTTGCCCGCCAGACACTCTCGCCCTCGGCAGGTCCTTGGCCCATGTTGCCTCCTTGCCCTTCCTGTTCTGCCGCAAACACTTCCTCCTTCCACACCTCCAGCCGCTCCTTGGCCAGCTCCAAGCACGCCTCACCTGCCCGCCACGCCGCCCGCCGGTGCGCCGCCGACACCGCAATCAGGATGCTGTCTTCGCCAATCGGCACAGGACCCAGGCGGTGCACAACCGCGATGCCGATAAGGTCGTGGGCCGCGTACACGTCGCGCGCAATCGACAGCATTGTGCGCAGCGCCCGCGGGCGGTACGAGGCGTAACGGAGTGTCGCCACCGCGCGGTCACCAAAGCTGTCGCGGGTCGAGCCTGGAGAGAGTAAGTCAGCAACGGGGAGCGAGACGAGGCAGTGCGGTGAGAACGACGAGAGGGGACGCAATAATACCCGCAAACAAGACGTTGGCGCCGGCTTTGGGGCTTCGTACGCGCTGCAGAACAGAAAGCACGTCCAATGGTTCATCTGACAGGGCGACGAAGCAGCCGTCGGCCGCAAGTGCATCTGCGCCAGAAAAGACGTCCTGGACCCCGGCCTCTTGTGCCATGGTGAATAACGGGGTATCGTGGTTTCAATGGGATGGTGCTCGGCCGGCAACAACTTGGGTAGAGTCCCACGGACTGCTCCGTAACACCTCCTCTGTGGAGTGTGATAAGCGGTGTTCGCCGTAAGTGGCGCTTTGCTCTCTAGCTAGCTGGCGTCACTAATGTCACATGGTTAGTTAGCGTCCTGTTCATGTTGCGTCCAGTGCGCTAAGACTGCTCTTGCTAAAAGCGGCGACCGCTCCTTCCCAGCATGTCGTGTTGACTTGGTTTCCCTTTTGAGCAGTTGCGTTTAAGTCAACCAGTCCTCCCACAATTCGGTGCTGCTTGTCCATCTTCGTTGTACGCGCTGGGTTGGGGGGGGGGGGGGGGGGGGGGGCGTGCCGACAGTACCTTCCATATAACACCACGGCAAGTCGTTCTTTCTCTTCGTAGAAAATTTGCCGAGCAGGAGTCAAACTCGAGAAGAAAGCGTGGAAAGAGCGAAGTGCTGGCTCTTGCCGCATCAAGCACAAACACACGTAATGTGCGTAAACCAATAAGAAGTCTCCCATTTCCTGTTCCTCGTCCATCGGTCTCGAAATGCCACGCATCTTCTCAGCGATCCAACATCACATTACTGCCTTCATACTCAAAGACTTCCAAAGGCCGTCCCTTCTACAAGTAAGTCATGCCTACCTCACGACTGTACGTCAAGGAGAGGAAGCCAAGCCAGCCTATGACCGGGAGACTGATGGCCACCGCAGACGCAGATACAAGGAGATGACCTCCGAGCTCCGAGCCAAGTTTTACCCGACTAATTGTCACCAAGGAGAATACCGGGAGCAGAGGCAATCTCCGGCCTTGCGACGTCGTATTCCCTGACAGCGAAACCCTTGTCTTTTTGAACACTCTTGGCAGCCATGACTGCCAAACGGTTCGTATATGACTCGACGGTAGTGCACAAGAAACCCTTTGCACCAGTTTAACAAAACTTCGCTTTCCTTGTTGCCGTCTTACAAATACTTGATTTTTTCTGGTTGGCTGCCGGAATCGATCGGCGAAACCGTTAAAATATCCGCCGTCGCTTGATCCAGTTCAAAGCCGATGGCAGTACGTGTATCTTTCACTCCTTCTCTTTCACGATGATTTCGTGCTTTTCGTGCTCTCGATGTTCTACAAAGACTTGTAGGTCTAACTGCCTGCATGTATACATATGTTGGCGCTTGGATTAGAGCTCCTCTAATTCTACATTGACTCCATGTTCCATGTATCTTTATGCATTGACTTTACCTTATTACACCTTCTAAAAGTCTGCCGGCCACCCTTCCCTGTGCAGCGCCCACCGGACCGCCGCACCCACGTCGCCCGTGATGGCCCGTGGACGGTGGCGCAGGTAGTCAGGACTGCTTCCCGCACGCGCCGGGTCGTACACACCCGTCTCTACCAACACCGAGCACCAGTCCGTACCGTGCACACTAGAGAACTGGTTGGCACCCGCAATGTCGCTGTCCGGGTTGTCGCCCACCATATAGACCGTCTTCAGCGGCGCTTCTTTTTGCTGTGCTCCTGTGCCGGCCTTGCCACCGTGTGCCTCCAGCAGCGACGTTCGGTACCGTACAAGGGTCCGTTCTGCATACCGGTACGTCGCCGCATGCGGCTTGCCCAGCAGCGTCGCACGCCCGCCCTCGGGCGACAACAGTGGCGGCTGCTTGGGGCTCGCCAGCTGCGTCCACACGCCTGCGACAGCCGCTGCGAACGCGCCCTGGCCAAAGCGTGGCAGGTGGTACGTGGTGGCCCACAGCAGGTCCGCATTGGAAAAGAACAGGCGCGTGCCCTTTTCCCCGGCGGGTACGGACTCTGCCGACAAGCTCGCCGGGTCAAACGTGCCCAGGAAGCCGCGCCGCGCCTGCAGCACGTCCGTCAGGAGCTGAATGTCGAGGGCCCAGTCGCGCGGGTCGTTGAAGACAAAAGCCGCGGCAATGCGCAGGTATTTGCTGTCGTCGAGGTCCGCCAGCGAAAAGGGCTTTGCCTGCGACGCCAATTTGCCGCCCTCGGGCAGCAGCGGTTTCGGCAGCGGCCGCGCTGTCTCGGCGTACACCGATTTGAGCAGCGGCTCGAACGGGTATATGGCCGGGTACGCCGTCAAAATATCGGCCGGCGTCACCACGCTGCGGAAGCCATACTGTTCGGCAATCGTGCGGATGCGCGCGGCATCCGAGCCCGTCACCAGGATCGTCTGGTCGCGGAGGCCGCCACCACCGCCACCACTGCCGCCACTGCCGCCACGTCCAGTGCTTTGCGCGTCCAGCCCCGCCGCGTCGTCCAGCAGCTCTTGGAAAGGCGTATGTGACTGCACAAAGTTGGCCGGCGACAGTATCGGCAGCGGGCCGCCACAGTTTGGGTCGGTGTCGAGGCCCAGCCGCCGCTGCAGGTCTGCCACGCGATCGGCCTCGTAGCGTCCGCCGCCATTGGTCAGTAGGATGAAGGGAATGTTCTGCCGGTGCAAATATCGGAGTGCCGCCGCTGCGCCCGAGATCGGCTCGTTGACGTGCAGCAGAACACCGTCAATGTCGAATGCAAACGCAAACGGCGGAATCCGGTCCTGGGAGGACGTCGAGGAGGAAGAAGAGAAGGGGGAGGCCGTCGCTGGTGTGTTAAATGCCCGTCTTTGCCGCTGCCGTTGACTCGCAGACCAAGACAATCGACTCGTCGCTCTCCGACCGTGGCTGAACGCACAACTGCCCAGACGGTTGAGAATGCCGCACAGCTGGCTCTCGGCCGTACTACGCCGCGACGGCACTCGCGAAGCACCTGTCAGCAGTCTGTCCACCAAACGCCTGCTCGATGCCATGGTTGCAGTCCTCGAGAAAAGTGTAGGGACGAGAAAACACTCTTCCGGTGCGATTTTGAGGTGACTCTCTCCCGGTCTTTGGCCTAATACGCTTGTAGAAGCTGCCAGGCTGTCTAGGTGAGGGCGGACGGGGCTAACGTCTGACGTTTGGCCAGAAGCGATGAATGTGCCCTAGGCTTTATCGGAGCTTCTCCAGCATGCGGTAAAACGGGTCTCTTTGCTTATCGCGAAGCGAGAAAGGCGCTGCGACCAGAGGGTCCGTTCCTTCAGGAACTGCCGCGATCTTTGCGCAAAAGTCCACAGTGCGCAGAGGCCGTGCGGGGGTTTCTGACAGTGAGTATAATGATCGGTACGCACTGTTCCGCACCACTCCCTCAATCCCTTATTTCTTCGCGGCAAGAGGGACAGCTCAGTCAAGCTCCTTCCAAAGGACCGCCTTCTTTTACTGAGCATGCTTCTAGCTTTATTAAACAGGAAGGACCCGCTTGGCGCTCTATTTGGAGGCAAGAGTGTGGGGAAACAAGAAGTCAATGAGGGGAAGGCACCGCCGACACGGGACGTAAGAAACGGTCATATGGAAGGTCCGAGAGGTCGACATCGACATATGTTTTCCTGCCTTTCAAAGTAAATCAATCTTGTCTCCGTTCTATCAAACTTGTTGGGCTACCAAATATCACCAAAGTGAGAAGGCTCATCTTCTGCTTTTGCGAAACACTGTCAACGTACATTCCAGCGGCAAATCACCGCCAGACCACAGCCCAGTCCACACAGCACGCACATTCCTCATCGAAAGAACAACAAAACAAATTAGACAGACTGTCCTTCATCGCTAAACACATCAAAAGGCAGGCATTCACTTCACTGGCGCTCTTTTATACCCAAGTCCTCATTCAACCATGGCACTACATTTACGCGTCCGGACATCGTCAAATCGACACACAACAGCCATATATTTCAACGTCAATGTTGGGTGAAAACATCACATTGTTAAAGGCCCACTATTGCCGCGATGCAGCGTTGGTGGTGGTGGGATATGAGACGGAAACAAGGTAGGTAAAAGACACGAAGGATAGTAACACAAAAGGGTGAAGAAATGGCCGACACGAGAAAGAGAAAACAAGAGAAGGGACGGAAAGGTCGCAAAGCAAACACAATATGCGCGATGCAAGACGAAAACAAAAGACGGACAAAACTCCTTGGGAGATAGGCCATAATCATTAGACCATCATGCTGATGCCTCATTCCTTTTTCCCACCCACGAACAAGCAGGTGTCGCTCACGCACGCAAGCAACAACAACTCCAACATAACGAGACAACTCATCGATGCCCCTTGTGTGGCCCTGCTGCGATGGCAGGGGCGAGGTTCTGGGTATAACTCCAACCCTGGGAAAACGACACGACGAACACATCAAGAGACAAAAGTTCAAAGCTCAAAACAGCAAAACAGAAAAAAATATTAGAGAAGCCATCTCGAGCCAAATACAACAACATCTCCCTTTTCCTCAAAGACGAAAGACCTGAAGAGCGCCAATATGCTATGCAAATATGCAGAGAGATAGAAAGTGGGGAGAGAAATTTTGCGAGGTATATCTGTTGGTGGTCGTTGAAACAAGCAATAATTAGGCCACGACGAAGCAAGGCGATCGACGCAAATAAACAACAAATTTCGACGGCGGAGGGTTACGAACTGAGTCCAGGACGCAGAAGGATCAGAGCACTGCCATCACTGTCTGTCGCCACGGCTGACCTGGCTGGCAGACGTCCGGCTGCGCTCATCGTCTTCTTCGATCACATCGCTCAGCCGCGTCGGGTGGTGATGGCGGGGAATCGTCTCCCAGCCGGGTCCAGCAAAACCTTGACCGGAGTAGTCTGCGGGGGTAGGGGCGGTATAATAATGATGGGAGGCCGATGGCGGATATGTCGATCCAGGGGCGGACAGCGATGACGGCGTTCCATACTGCAGCTCTTCTTCTACAACCCGACCGTTAGCAAATTCGATCCTTACCGTCCACCGTTCGCCCTCAAAATCCCGATCTAGCTTACCTTCATAGGTCTCATCAGACCCTTGCGGCGCTGTGTCCGACTGGCCATGTGGCTGCTGGTAGTATTCAGCACCAGCTGTATTAGGTCCCGCAGCGCTAACCGGCGGCCGGGTGTACGCAGGCTGCTGTTGCGGTGACGCTTGGTAGCGTTGCTGCGTCTGAGATGGGAGCTGCTCTAGAGCGGACAGTGGCGTTTTCTGCTGCTGTGGTGGGACCTGTTGGGGCGGCGGCGCCTGTTGTTGGTGTTGCTGCTGAGGCACCTGCTGCGGCTGCTGTGGCTGTTGTGGCTGCTGTTGTGGTTGCGGCTGCGGTGGTGGCGGCTGCTGCTGCTCATGACCCGTGGTGATGGTGTGTTGGCGGAGAGGAAGACCCTGTGTCATAGGCACTACCTGAACACCGCCAACGATCGTCGGCTGCCCCTCTTGCAACGCAATTACACGGTCCCTCTCCTCCTGCTCGCGCCGTCCAAGCTCCTCCCATGCTCGCCGCGCCTCATCCTTGGAGATGGCAAGCTCCTTACGCATCTCGGCAAGCTGCTTCTGGATCTTGGAATTTGAGCGTTCGTTCTCGACTGCCTCGCGGATGGCCTCTGCGCGGCCACGGCGCTCTTCTTGGATGGCGGCCTCCAGCATTGCCTGGACCTCGGTGTGGCGCTCCATATCGCCGCGCATCTCGAAAAACCAGCGCTGGAACTTGCGCTCCGAGCTGGCCCGCAAGCGTTGCAATTCCACAACGGCGTGGAAGAGGTTGGCGCCTGCGGCCGACAGATCCGTCACCTGTCGCGCAAGTTGCCGATTCAAGGGATCCTGGTTGATCTCTTCCGACCGCTGCTGCAACTGGCGGATCCAGAAGCTCGTCAAGCCCTCCCAGTGCGCAGACAGCGCTTCCCACCGCTCAAAAGCGTGGGGGAACGAGTTCCGCGGCTGGCCCCTAGCACCGCCAGTTCCTGCATCAACCCCGTCAAGCCCGGCCTGCGGCTGCGTTTGGTCCGATGGCCGTGGTGCCGGGTCTGGGATTCCGCTTGCTGAAGGCTGGCGACCACTTGCAGCCAGAGGTGGTACAGCGGATATTGGGGGTTGGTTGATTGGCTGCTGGGGTATTTGAGTGCTTTGAGGGACGCGCACAGGTCTTGGCTGAGCCTGTTGTTGCTGCTGCGGCGGCTGTTGGTGCTGCTGTTGTTGTGATGAAATATGAGGTTGTTGTGGTGCTTGTTGCTGCTGGATGGTAGGAGGAGGCGCGAGCTGGCCAGATGTCGCCGCTGCCGTGCGCTCGGCCCGCTGCTGTCTCCGCTGGGTGGCGGGGTCGACTTGTTGCGATGTGGATTGGAAAGCAGGGGCCGGTGCTGCCGATGCTGCCGCTGCTGCAGCCGCTATAGCAGCTGCAGCGCGCTCACGTTCAGCGGCTTGCCGTCTTTGTTCAGCCGCGACTCGAGCATCCTGCTCTGCTTGAGCCCTATCCATCCGTTCCCGTTCCGCTCGCCGTGCCTCCCGTTCTTGGCGCTCCTGCATAATCATTCTTGGACCTCGAATGTTGCTTCGTGGCGAACTTGTCGGCTGTGGAATAGGAATTTGCGGGCGGGATGTCGGCACCGCATTGCCATTTCCGTTGCCGTTAGAGCCATCACCTTCGACGAGAAGATCCACCATTTTTGCGGTCTCCTCCTCGTAGTCCTGCGAGAGCTTGTATGGATGAGTGAGGCCTTCAATAGCGAATAGGATGGCGTTGTGTGTCCGCTTCGAGATGCGTACGGCCGGGTGGATGTCGGCACCCGCTCGATACGACGCTGCGTTACCCTCAACGGGTTCCGAGGCAGGTCTCGAGGAACGCCCTACGACAGGCGATCGTTTGTCGTACTTACTGTCGTCGTCGTCGTCTTCGTCTTCGTTTTCGTCGTCCTGGTCGTCGCTCAGGTCTTGCGAGGGAGGTCTACGAGTGCTTTGAACTTGGTCCTGCTGCTTGATGGGCTCTGCGGTGGAAAAGGCAAGGCGCGGGCTGATTCCAGTCGATACTGCGGCAAGATGGACCCTTCGCGGAGGACTCGACTTGGGAGACTGAGATTGGGTTTGAGACCGGGACTGGCTATCGGCAGGGGACGATATCGACTGCGATCGGGCCTCGCCCGGAGGGGGGCTAGAAACGAAACGCGGTGTACGGCGCAGAGAACGTTGAGAGTTGGGTGTAGATCGTGCTTCACGTTCGGAGAGCGCGGAGCGTGCTGAGGCGGTCGTATGGGTGTGGTATCCCTGGGGTGTATAGGGCCGCTGGAGAGAGGAGCGCCGGCTCTGTTGGCTGTGCTGTGTCTGCCGGCTTTGCGGGCGCTGCTTGGAGGGAGTCGGTGTGTGTTCGTAACGGTCGTAACGGTCGTGAAAGGAAGCGGGGGCGGAGTCACTCAATGTGCCCGAGTCGTGCTGCCCAGCACCAGACAGGTCCGGTACGTGGGCGGGCAAAGCGACAAGAGGCCGCAGTAAGCGCTGCGGTAGCTCAATAACCACAAAGAGCTCTCCCCTCGAGGAAGTGAAGGACAAAACAAATCAAAAACAAGAATGGACAGGACAATGAGAAGCGAAGGTGTCAAGCTGCGAGCGGTTAGAATCTCGGACGACGGAAGGCGCAAGGAGGAGACGAAAGGGGACAGAAGCTGCAGTTTAACGGCGAGAACAGGAACAGCATCGCGTTGCACATGCAAGATGTTGTCTCCGGTGGTAGCCAGACGCTATGTCTGAGGGAGCCCGTGAAGGCAACGAAGCACAACAAAGATGTCGAGTGGCAGCAAAACGTGCAGAGAGGACAGAGAACAAAATAGAGAAGCGAAGGACGGGGTGCATCAAGGCTTGGCGGAAAGGGATGAAGTGAGGTTGGGTCCAACTTACTCTTCAAAACGGACTTGCTGCTCGACGAGACAGTCAACCCAAGGGCCGAAAAAGCGAGAAAGCGATGTGACAATGGCAAAACGAGGCAAAGACAGCAAGCAAAAACGAAAAGAGACCAGGCCGGCAGTCAATTGAGGGCTGGTCGTTGGAAGGGAGGCAGCCCTGGAGCAAACAAGACCAAAGACAGAGGAGACGGTCGTCGACGAGCAGGCGAGCCCAGCGAAAGCAGGACGGGGTGAGCTTTGAGAAAATGGCAGACTGGCGTCATTAGCAAAATTAATTGGGGAGGCTGGGAAGAGGTGGCGGGAGAACGCGCGCCCAAAAACGGCCCTGTGCTAGCACGGGACGGACACGATACAGGGGTATGGTTGCGGGAGTGGCAGAGTGGATAGTGCCAAGTGTGGGTGGAGAGGAAAGGAAGTTTTGCAAGCTCACAATAGGCTGTTGCTGCTGGGTCCGCCTGGGCTGAGCTGGCCTGGCTGGACCTGTGCGACGTTTGCTATTCCTTGCACACGACCAAGCGCAAGGGAGCTGCTGACTGTGCCAGATTTGCCAAAACGTACCAGAAAAGAGGAGGAAGAGGAGGAGGAAAATGGCCAGCACCGAGAGTCCGCCAATCAAGGAGCTGTGCAAGAGTTTAGAAGAGCTTCGCTGCAATCGGAAATGCACAGCTGGACGTTGGGAATTGGCTCGGCGTGACAGCGAACTGGACTGCGGCCGCAGGAACGGCGGCCAAGTGTGTGAGGCGAGGGGGGATCGGTTAGAAGCGAGTGGCCAGGTCAAAATGTCGGTCTGGGATCGCGAGGCCGAGAGTAGTGGTAAGGTAAGTCGTCCCAATTCGCAGGGGGGTGAGGATGCGATTGATGGCAAATGGGGATGGCTGGGAAAGAGATCGCGTCTCGTGCTCTCGTCTCGATCTCGGTACGTGGCGTACGCGCTGTGTCCGTCTCGTGGTCAGCACCTCGTCGTCCTCGTCGTCCTCCTTGTCCTCCTCCGCCAATTAAGCCCACGCGCAACCGGGTGCGCAACAGCCTCCGCTGATGTTGACCAGTGGGGACTAGAGAAACGATGATTGTGTACTGCTGCCCGTGCCAACATGACTTGGAGATGCCAACGGCCGTCGGGGGAGGGAGGTAGAGAGACGTCTCGGCGGGTGTTTGCTCGCGTTGGTTTGCGTTTTGGGAGCGGGACGGATCTCTTTGTCTTGAGTTGTGAGATGGCTCGGCGACTCGGTCAGCGAGTCTATTGCAGCATTGGCCTCAATGCGCTCGTTGCTGGCGGTTTGTCGATTGCGAAATGCAGCCGGGGCCGTCCGTGGTGTATAGAATGCGCGAGAAAGAGCATAAATACGGAGTATGTCGTTCGTATTGCTTTTGTAGAAAACGCGCCACGAGCGTCAATCGGCGTGTTTGCGTTCTGATTAAACGGGAAGGCCGTGGCAAGCAGATTTCAGTAACAAACAACGTATGCGAGAGAGAGGGCGGGACCCGACAAAGACAAAGTGGCAATGTCGACGACGAAAGGTGTCGGCAGCTTTTGTCTCATTTTCTGTCGTCGATTAAAAGAAATTGCAAAGGCATGCGGGTCAGGTCAGCGATCTGCGTTTCGTCCGAGCTACCAGGAAGGTATGTCCTTGTGGACCTGGTTCGGTTCCAGGGGAAAGTTCTCTCTTTTGCATGCACTGAGGTCGTTCAATGGCAGCCGGTGAGCTTCAGGAGAAGATGAAGGTGACAGGAAGTTGTACAAAAGCAAGACGACACGTTGTGATGATTGCGAAATAGGAAGAGCGTACACACGGCGCTCTTTCAGGAAGGACCGGGTCAAAGACGCGTCCGGCAGGGGAGGAAGCACCTACGCACGACAGTTGTGCTTTCCTCGCAATTGGCACGCCCAGATACCACGGCAAACAATCACGCCGTGACAGTTTCGCGCCCTTGTTCCTTCCTTTCACGGGTAACTACACGGCGCGCTCTCTTTTCTGGCTCAATTGATAATGGCTCTTCATATTAACTGCCCGTTCAGCCCCTGGAGGCAGGAGCGCGAGACACGCAGCAGGTGGATGCGTGGGAAGGTGCCAGGGACCCTGATTTATTGCACGGGACGTCTTCTTCTCTGCCGTAGGGAAGACAGATCAAATATTTAGGAAAAAAAAAAAAAAAAAAAAAAAAAAAAAAAAAAAAAGGAAAAAAAGAATAAGAATCGAGACAAGACACACACTCTTTTCACATTTGACTTGTGCCCTCCAGCCTCGCACACCTCGCCCTGCCCTCTTTCTCAGGCGGTGCTGCTCCCGTTCTTTTGTGGGTTATGTGTCTCCTGTTTTCGGTGCCTTTTCCTTTTTCTGCACTTCTTGTCTGGCATCCAGGGAGTTCAATTATCAGCCCCAGATGAAGCCCAAAGGATTCAGAGACAAAAAACCAGTGCGAACCACGGTCACGCACAACAGGTGCTCCTGCTCAAGCGCTCGTCTGTGTTACACACCCACAGCATGCATTGCACGACTGAATTTACCATTCGTTCTGTTAGTCGACATGCGCATGTGCTTTCACGTTTTCCAGATCACGACCTCCGTTGTTTTGGCGCATACATCATTCTTAACTTTTGTGCAATGGTGAACAATCGCCATACTGCAGAAAATAATGCAGGAAACATGCCGGACGTGAAATTGCGTCCCACCCACTACACGAAGTGCTTGGGGCTATTTTGTTCTCTTAACTGTCGTACTCTGTACTCTTATATCTCCACAGATACGTTATACTCCATGTGTCGTATTAAGTAGCGCGGTGTACGACAGGTCCAGGTACGATGTATTCCTCCCTGTGCGGCGTATGCCGTGCTGGTTGGCAATAGTCGGCAAGCGGCGACGAAGAGAGCAAAAAAACCAGGAACAGCTTTGTTACAATTTCGCAACGGAGCATTATCCGAACCCGGTACCAGAGAGTCGTCGAGACTGGTCGCGTCCGACTTTACCAGGAACTCAAACCGGTCACCATCTTTATAAAGCGAAGGAAAGGCGGGCCACCAAGTGCGTCGCGGCACGCGTCACGTCTGCTCGTATTGGCCGACAGCCGGCGGTATTTCTCGCACGTTCTTCGTATTGCCAATGTTGGGCACATTGGATTGTTGGGTCTTGGTATGAGTATTGGACGGACCAGGTGTCGACCACTTGGTCTTCGAGCTTTTGACCTTTTTCTCGCCCTCCATTCGTCCCACACTCTCTGCGTTGGCAAGCTCCCGAGGCGATGCTACGCAAGATGCATTCCACCCTTGTACAGAATAGGTACGTCAAATCTTGACAAAGGATCCAGCTTTGTACGGAGTAATTTCGACGTGAGCTATGCCTATTTTGGCACAAGCGAAGCTTGACTTCAGGCTCTCTTCAGCTGAAAGGCCCAGCCGGTCCGTTGCGACAGCACTCGGCTGCCCAGGGTAGTCGTCTCGCAGCTCTCAATCTCCAACCTAACTGCCCTCGTGACAAACACGGCATGCGCGTTGTGCGTTGAATCCGACGAGGGCGGGAACGGTTGCGCTTCTGCTTCTTTGCAGCACACAATTGAATACGATGCCCAACATACGGAGTAAAGCGTCTTTTACTTAATCTGAGGGTAAAAAGATTATATTAAATGTCGTCGCGAATTTGACATGAATTACTTCTGTATAGTGAGATGTTTTTTTAATAAATATCCATATTGCATAAAAGAAATAATTTAAATTTTAAAAAAAATCGGATTTCGACAAGACACCGAAATTTAAACTAGAAAATAGAACATCAAACCACCGAAGCCAAATGAATAAATACGAAACAAAAACAAACGCCGCATGTCGAAAACAATACGTCGTCGGTGAGAACATCACCAGGAGGCATCAACTTGGGCCGTCATGCTGTCAGATTTACCCAGTCACACGACGATACAAACCACACGGCATATCGCATAGAGCATTTCGAACGGCAAGAGAATATATACCAAGCAAAGTAAATTATATAAAAACAGATAGCAAGACTCATGAATATCCAAAAAGTTTGTCCATCCTAAAAACTGCGAATACGACGGGGTTCTGACAACCGCGCACGCATTATACGTACACAAAAATGCTTTCTAAACACAAGACTCAAGGAAACAGGAGGTTACGCCAAACAGGCCGTGCTTCCAACGACATCGAAAAGGGAAAATGCAAGCAGATGCATAATCATTTTCTGTGTTGGGAAACACTTTACAGGCTGGCACCGTGGACGACCTTCATGTCGACAGCCAGCTCGCGGCCGTGGTCGTTGACAACCAGGACGCGGACGGAACCACGGCCAGACTCGAAGGCGCGCAGAAGGCGGGCCCACAGGTTGGACTGGTCAATGACAGGCAGGCCCTGCTTGACGTCGCCAGTCTCGGTCATGGCGACGACGTTGCCCTCCTGCAGGTCAAGCACGCGGTACTGCTTGAAGACAGGGCCCAGCATAGACTGAACGACGACGCTCGGCGAGGGGTTCGAGACGAACGACGACTCCTCGTGCAGCTTCTTGGTGAAGAGGTCGACACCCAGGTAGCGGTGCTGGCCAGTGGCAGCCGAGGTCGAAATGCGGATGACCTGGCAGGGGCGGCCCTGCAGGATCAGGATATCGCCGATGCGGATGTGGTGGCACGGGATGGACACCGTGTTGCGGGGCACGTCCTCATCAACGCTGCGGCGACCGCGGGACGAACCGCCGCTGGAGCGGATCGTCTCACGGAACTCCGAGACCTCAACATCGCGGCCTTCAGGGTGAATCAGACGGTCAGCAAGCTTGTGCACGCCGTGGCGGAACGAGTGGTAGTTGCCTGTAGATTGTGGCAGGAGAGGAAAACGAAACCGAGCCAATGCTTAGTAACCGTAGACGCTAATAAGAGAGCGAACCGGCAAGAAGCTGGTCGCGTCGCATGGGAGACGCAGGGAAGGGAAATGAAAAGCAAAAAGCACAGAAGCAGGGAAAGGGTTAAAAGAAAACTCACCCTCCTCGTCGTAGTAGCCCATCTTGTTGGATTTGCGGGTGATAGCCTGCGGCTCAAGAATGTCCTCGACGACCTTGGTCGACTTGCGCGAGAAAGTGCTGCCCTGGGTAGGACGAGCGATCGGTGCGTCGACGGTGGTAGAGTCCTCGACAAACGAAGACTGTTCCTGCTGCTGGGGGAAGCGGCCGGAATCGACAGTGGTGTCGGAAAAGGTGGTGCGAGCCTCTTCGCGGTGGTACGTGGGCTGGTAGCGGGTGCGGTATTCGCGCTCAGCGATGTCAATGGCGGTGTCGTAGTTGGGGCGACGAGAATCGTACTCTACAGTAGTCTCTGAGAAGGTCGTGCGGGGACTGAAAATGGAAATTTGTTAGCCGTGTGTCTGTTTCTGGAATGCCACGCACGATCAGGCACCAGGAGATCGCCGAGGCGTTTGCAACTGGAACGAGGAATGACGGCACGCCCCGAGCCTTGCTGGAATGCTTGGGAAAACGTGTCGCTAGAAACCGTTGCAAAGACGCTAGTGTTCACTCTTTCGACGTCATGTCACGTCTCTCTGTTCTTTGACATGGACCTACCGGTTTTCACGAATGTACTCTCGGCGGACACCAGGACGGCGGTAACGTTCCTCTTCACGAGTGACACGGACCTCTTCTTCCCGGTAAGGGTAGTTGTTGTTGGCGGACTCGTTGACAACGTATGAAGAAGAGTATTGACCTTCCCGTCCGGGCCGTTCGTGGTGCTGGGGGAGTTGAACACTGAACTCCTCGTGGGTCTGGGTGGTGTTCACCTCAGTGGGCTTGTTGTCCTCCTTGTAGGAAGACGGAAAGATGCTGAAGGGAACGGGGACTCTGGCTTCAAAATCCAGGTTGACGACCTTTGACAGCGAGCACGAGAAAGGAAAAAAAAAGTGCGAGACTTTTTTCTTCCTACCAGGCGCTCTTTCTTCAAAGGAAGGGGAGAAAGAGAATGATGTAGCCGGAGCTAATTGGATGGACGATTTTGAAAGTGGTTGGGTTGGAACGTGAAGCTGGAGATGGATGTGCTATGGAGAGGAAGAGAAGTAAGAGAGGAGAGAAGGGAAGAAACAGAAGAAAGAAAAGAAGAAGAGAGGAAAAGACGGCAGGAGGGAGGATGGGGACGGGCTGGCAAGAAATAGGAAATTTCGCGAGAGTACGACGAGGGAAGGGGGCACCCGGGCAGCAGCGAGGCGGAGGCAAGGGCCAGTGGCTGTCGAGCGCCAACTCTGTGGGAAAGAGCACAAACTACGCAAACATAGGCAGGACCGCCCACCGACGGATTCGGGCAGCGCCTTCCCCGACCCCCAAACAAAGCTAGTAGACAACAAAACAAACCGCTGCTGCACGGCAACCGGCTTAAAACTGGAGCAAATACACAGAAGCCGGCCTGGTGATCCCTCCTGATCTGAGGAAAGGGGAAGCGGGGGGGCCAGGAGGAGGGACGAGGCCAGTGTTCCGACCAGGGCGGTGCAGCCAGGGCACACACAAGAGGAGATTGGAGATTGGAGGGCACTGAAAAGTAACAAACCGCCCGAAAACAGGGTCCAGACGCTGGTGGGCGCTTGTTTACTTTGCACATGGAGTGGGTCGTGCCCTCCACTTTTAGTTCTTTCCCTCCTCTTGCGGTTTGGGGCTGTTCCTAGAGCTTCTCTTGCTGTGGAAGGACCATCCCGGCGAGTCGAGCAAGCGAGCAGGTGCGGCAAAGCGTTGTTATTGTTGTTGTTTACAAGGTGCCCAAATCGGTTAGTGGGTCCGCACCTGCAATTATCGGCTTTCCTCAGCTAGCTGCCTGGCGCCTTCCATCATCGCGCGCTGGACTTTGTTGGTTCTTGCTACTTCCAATGACATGTGCGAGTCTGTGTCGTTTCTGTCCTTTTCTTTGCTTCTTTTTCTCCAGTGACTTGTCGCGACGCACTCACCGCTGGTTGGGCTGCAATGGACGAGACAATACGAATTAGCAGGTGGCAGGTACGGTGGCTGCACGACAAGTAGCTCCCGGCAGCTTCCTTGGACACTGTCATTTCCAATTGGCCACCAATTGGCCCCAAAACTGCATCACCGACCACCCTGATTTGTGATTGCATGATTGCACATGCAGTCAATGTGCACGACCCGGGCCTGCCGGCCAATGCAAGATGGGGGAGGTTGGGTTTGTTCAGTGTGTTGGGCCATCTTGAAAGGGCTGCGCGACCTCAGCTGAAAATCGAAACGTGCCAGGATGCAGACGCGGCACGCTATTTGGACAGTATATACACTGTATCGACACGGTACAACACAAGCTCACACGCATGCGACGCACGATGTACAAATATGGTCATAGCTCTGGTGAGCTGTTCATGTCGTACTCCGTGGAACCAGCCCTTTGCTCATTCGTACGACAGCCCATCGATGCGGTGCTGCTTGTTGCACCGCTGGCCTGCCCGATTGCATTGTGTTCTAAAAGCGCGATGACAGATATGTCCTCCGTGAAAGGAACAGTCGTCGAAGTCTAAGTGACTGCTGCACAATGCTGATTGGTGTTATCTGTAACCCGATCTGTCCTCGTGCTTGTCGTCGTTGCCATGGAGAAGACGCCGTCGCTTTTCTAGGACCGTCTGGGCTTGCTGGGATCTACGACGTGCAAATTCGCAAAACGCAAGTCTCCGGAGGACAAAAGCGAGAGGTGATGGGGCGGCGGACCTGGCCATGCAAATACTGATACGTATCCCGTACAGATCATTCCCTGGTGGCTAGCGGCCATGCGAAGTCCCAAATACAGCTGCCCTCTAGCAGTGTCTCGCAAAAGCACATGTCTTGGCTGCAGACGGGGCAACCCCCTGGCCCTGCCTCCTCCTCTACAGAATATGAGTCTGTCCACTTGCGTTCGATCGTGGAGCTCTGTCATTGGACCGACAATGTGGATGCGGACACCAGCTGTTGAACTTGCTCGCCGAGCTGCAAGTGAGCCGCGCGTGTTTCGATGCATGCGAAATAGCGAGGCAGGCAAGAAAGCCGTTTACGATGTAGAGAAAGGCTGGCAGGGCGTCCAGCTTGAAAGGAATTCGATGTGGCAGTCTCCGTTCCTGCCACTGTGCCGCGTTCTCCTCCCCAGTTTGGTACGGGAGATGTTCAAGATTTGGCGGATGTCTGTCCAGAGACCCATCTCGCCTGTGTGCGCCAAGGGTTTGTTTGGTCGCAAATTAGTTGGGACGAGAAAAAATGGGTGGTGCTTCATTTCCAGTTCTGGGGCCTCTTTTTTATCTGGGTCGTCTTGCTGGATCGATGTTCGACCGATGGATGGAGGCTTCGGGTGCCTGTCACTCTTGTCTGATTCTGTCGCCGCCCCGCCAGTACTAGCACATGTTGCCATGACAACACGCAGCGCCAGCCCGTCACGACGCGACATCATGGCGAGTGTGGGCAACGGAGACACTGATGAGGCCCTGGACGTAATCAAGTCGTGGACAAGTCACGCTAGAGCTTACCGTTGCAGCGCCCAATCAACCCGGACGGGCCAGGGGAAAGAGGGGCGCTAGCAGACGACCATTGGCTAAATTTAACCCATATGGGGAACCGCCAGGGGCATACCACCACCACCCAGCGAAAACTGAGATACGTCGTGCTCCGTCAGCTCGAGGCCGGTGTTGGCTGTACCTTTGCTCTTCTGCCCGTCTTTGTCTCCATATCAACAAACAGGGAAGACGGACTGAACGCTGTCGTAATGTTTCGGATAGCAACACGTCCAAGAGAGTGTGATGGAGCCACCGCCCGGAGACCAAGAAGCGGTTATGCCGAGGCTTGAACATTATTTTGTCGGCTCCAGCTTCTGATGTTTTGTGCGAAAAGGACTTCGTTGTTGTTGTTAAGAAAGCCGTAGGCCACATAGAACAAGTCGCGTCGGATACAAAACATATTACGTACATGTGGCCCTGCATTGAGATTGTAATAAATTTCAAAAAAAAATCTTCCGAGAAACCCCAAAAGTAAAATTCCGCCGAAACTGCTTGAAAAAAATGTAAAAAAAATATACAGCCGAAGGGAAATAAGAGGCACTCAGACGCAAAGACACCATGACAAGTTACTATGCAAGATGAGAACATTAGTCTGTTGTAACGGCCAACTTGGCTGAATCGTGTGTGGTCTGACGTGCGAGAAGCAAAGAAAAGCATCATAATGGCCGAAAAGTAAAGAAAAGAACGGAACGTAAATGAAGGCAGGCAGAAGAGAAAGTGTAATAAAAACAAATCAAAACATGTGTGTCCAAATAAAAACAAAACAGATGCAGAGAAAAGATAGAAAGTGAAACAAAGTGTCGCGCGACACACGTCGTGCGCGCACTCCTCGTCGGTATCCAATTCTTCAACGTCGTCCAAAGAGAGACAGCCCCAGATGGTAGGCAAAGCCGTCAAAATCGGCCGCGTTGGCCGGTACCCGCTCCGCCTGGATGGGCAAGGCGTTGACTGGCGGTGCCGCATTTGGAGGACGCGGATAGACGGCACCCGGCGATATGGGTCCTGGGCCAGATGCTGGGGCGAGAATGGCCAAGGTCTCAGGCCGGAATGGCAGGCTGCCTGGCACAAACGTGGCCGACCGTGGGGACGGGGAAGACGACGTGGCCGAGATGCTGGGCGAATGCTGCGGAGACGTGAAAGCAGAGGACGGGAAAAGGTGGGGCGAGTTGGGGGTCGGGAATGAGATAAATGAGTCCATCGTGCTGGCCGTTGGAATGCTCGAGGCGATCCCCGGCACTGTCCTGAATGGTGGGCAATACAGGGACAGCTCGGGCATGGTGCCAGGGCCTGGTTGCATTGCGGTGCCGCTCCCTCCATGCGGCTGCAGTCTTGCTCGGATTGTTTTCAGCACTTGCCGAGCCGCTTCTAGAATGTCCCGGAACATGAGGAGCTCCTGGAACGACAGCAGTGTGTGGTCAATCAGCTCGCGTAGGGAGACATCGTCAACAAAGGCCGCCAGGGCGGGCAGTGCGCGGGAAGCTGCGAAAAGGAGCAGCAAGTAGCGGCATTGGCTGTGGTGGGTCAGCATCTACCAGAAGCGCATCGATGATCCTTGGTATACGTTGTATCTTGCAGAGTAACAGGGGGAGAGCCAACTTACAGCATAGCTGTCCCAAATGCGTTGGGCAGTATGAGACGGTCGCTCTCGAGGCCATGGTACGCCCTGATCGTCTCGGTTATACTGCACACGACCTCGGCCATCTCCTCCATGTCGACCTGTTGCTGCGGCTTGAGCAGGCTGAAGAGCACACCGTAGGACCTGGCTTCCCAATAGGCGGAGCACGCGCGAGCCGTCCGGACACTGGCCTCTGTGTGGGGCAATGTTGCACGGCCTGACAAGACGGCATCGAACTGCCGCCGGAGGTTGGCAACAGCCATGTCGATTTTTCGTTTTTGTTCTTGGGTTGGTAAACCGTTGTCCCCGTGTGCCTCACCGTAGATGCAGTTGAGGTGACCTCGCAGGGCGGTCTGCATATTGAAGCCGCCAATGGCCGCAGGCTCACTCTCGGTCTCACTTTCGGCCTCAACATCAACGACTGCCTCCATGCCGGCCATCATGGTGTCGTCGCCATTATCACGTGGAAATCTCAAAACATCAGAATCTGGTGTTGGCACCACGGCTTGATACCGATGAAGCTCAGACGGGGCTTGACCTGTCTCCGCGTTGATCTCGCTGTGGGAAAGCCGTGTTAGCTTTTTTCACGTTCTGTTTTGCAAGGTTGGTGCAAGATAGTACGTACAACTCAAGCTGCACACAAGTCCAGTAGAGGGCGGCCAGCTGCCGTTCGTCCTCGACAAGCCTGTGTGGATACTGGTTGTAGTCAACGAGGGACAGACCGTAGAAGCCTTGCATGGCGCCGTGTCCTCCTCCACCCCCTGGGCGATGGATGAGGAAATGGACAATGTTGCCTGCGTTCCGGACGTGGCCAGCTGCATCTTGGATCCGTGCCAGCTGTCCACATAACAACGCTGCCAAAAGATACGCCCGTGCTAGGTCTAGTGTGGGAGCCGGCGCCGATGTAGAAGTGCCTGCGGCCTCTGCCGGTTGATAACCGTGAGTGCTGTTCGTAGTGGTACTGGAGGTTTGTTTTCGTTTTTCAGCAGCTAGTTTCCCGGACAGATGATACAGGATGTTTGTGGCCCGATCTGAGAATACGGGCCCAGAGTCAAATATGGTATTGTCCCACTTGGCCCAGCAAAGCCCTCCCAATGCAAAGACAAGATACTCAATCGCTAGCTCAACTTGTGCCTGGAACGGGACTAGGTCCGCGACGGTGCTTTGTTGCGGCCGCTCAGCCGTCTTAGAACGCCCCAGGAAACTACCCACGAGTTGGCCGAGGCGTTGTGGAGGCAGGATGTGATAAAGAGCCTGGATGTGGGTAGAGTATTTCTCTACGCAGGACGCAAGATGGGATGAATTGGGAGGTTCGGCGTGCGGCAGTCGAAACAAGGGTCTATGGTTAATGGAAGGCATAGAAGACACAGTTGGCTGCGAAGCGCCGATTTGAGACAACGGGAGAGCAGAGTCCAGGGACTGTTGAAAATCACCGACTTCTCCATGCGGCCTTGCCGACTGAATGGCTGGCAGGCGAAAAGGGTCAGCGCGAGCCTCCGCGAGAATGCCGTGTATGATATCAATAAAGGGAGACTTGTTGAGAAGCTGAACGACTGGGGTTGCGTGTCCATATGGTAGGGCTAAGGAGCTGATATCTGCTGTCATTGTGTCGGCGTGGGAATTACTATGCGCGTGCTGACGGCTGTTTTTTCCACTTGCGCTTTCAGCATCCCACATGTTCTCCTCTTGAGAAACATGCACTCCAAGAGAATAGCTCTCCTCGCGACCGCCAAAGCTGACACTGTGATGGGCGAAAGCAGAAGCTTTTGGCGTGACTATAGACGGTGTGATGGATCCACTGGCCTGTGGGAGTTTCTCAGACAGGTTGATCCGAGGGACTGTGAAACTGGCCCTGTATGCTGTTCGTGGCCCAACCTCGCCTTCCACGCTGCAGGATCGTGATATTAGTTACGTCGCTACTTTCGAGTGAAGACAGATGTGTGTTTGTCTGTGCATACCTGGTAACCCCGGATTCCCTGTTTGCATACGGAATGGGGCTGTGGCTAGATACCGGAACTTCGGGAAAGACTGCACCATTGTCATCACAGTGCTGATGGGGGGATGGACACAATGGTTTGACAGTCGTTCTAGGGCTCGCGCGGGGCTGCGAAGCTGGCACCGGTCTGAGGAAAGGAAAGAAGTTGGCTGACGGATGTGGTGGAGGCGGCATAGGAAATTCTAGGATCGTTTCTTTCACATCATACCCGGACCCAGCGCTGGAGGATGAATGGGGCGGCGGCAGAGGAAGAGGACGAGGGTGCTGCTGAATAGGATTGGACGTGGGAATCGGGTACGCCGTCTGTCGTGGGGCCCCGTGATACAAGTGCGTCCGCCTTTGTCGCTTTGAAACGATCTGCTGACGAAGAGGCAGTGGTCGAAAGTAGGCCTCGTGAGCTTCCGAAGAAGAACGACTTCGTTTCGGTGGAACTGGCTCAGCTGGAAGAGGGCTTCTGGGCTGGAATGGCAGCGCGTCTCCGGCTGCCAGCGACATGGCGGTCAGAGGCTCGGAGCCGGGACCAGAGTGTGACTGCGGTGATATTGTGTGGCTGGGCCTCGTTATTGCTGTAGCGGGCGTCTGCAGCGGTCGCTGATAATCGTGCACGATTCCAAAATTTGGCTGGATGAATTTGTACGACGGGTACATAGAATGATCAGGATGAGGGGATATCGAAGCCGGACGCACCGGTGGCGGAAACTTGTCTTCCCGACGAATCTTGCCCCAGGTCGGCCCCCGAATGACTTGCTGTGGATTTTGTGCTCGAAGCCTCTGGTGCCTGCGGGAGTAGAACTCTTTTGGGAGCGGCCGAGTTGCCTGGTGCTGCCGTGGATCGTCGTGTCCCTGTTGGTGCGTCTGGTCGGGCCGGTCGTCGTGCTGGTTTTGCTGCTGTCTTCGAGGTCCTAAACGGTGGCTGTGCAGCTGTCGTGATGATGACGGTGTCTTGTCTTGTAGAGGATACCGCTGCAGAGTGAGTTCAAACCCGGCGTAGGGATTGTAAATCGGCTCCGCTGGAGACTGAGAGGTATCGATGCGGAGCGCCGGCATAGACGTCCGTGGGATGACAACTTGTTTAACTGTTCCTGGAGCATCTTTGTTGGAAAAGACGGCCCTGAGTGAATCGTCGTTTCCTCGGTGAGCCATTTTCAGTACAGTTCCAGCGACAAGGCTGGAAGCCAGGCGACGCCACGTCCGTCATAAGGGACTTTGAGAGCATGGAAACGAGGGAACGGTCAAATGAAGCACAATGCGAGTGAAGGTGCAAAGGAAAACAAAGGAGAAAAAACGAATACAGAGAGGGCAGAGTTGGACTATTTCTGCACGGCTAAAACGGGACCAGGATGAATATGGTAGTTTGAGGGAGAATGTGTAGGAAACAGGAGCGATATGCTCAGCGTAGCCGGGTGGCGGTGGTGGTGATGGTGTGAAGAAGAGTTGGCGACTGGTGATGAACAGGGGAAACGAGGACGATTAGTTGAGGGTCCAGGATGGGGATCTGGGCCCCTTGGAACAATGGCCAAGAGACGAAGAACCAGAACAGGACAAACATTATGCAAAGGAGGAAGGAGCTACCGTATATTTATTTATCAAGATCTGGAGGAAGCGGCGTCTGTCCGGCCCCATCGCTGCTGCCGCATCGGGTAGGCTGCGATGGCTTCTCTGAACGAAAAGCGGCAAGAGGCGCTAAATCGCTCTTACCTCGTTTGGAGAAACGCGGAAGCGCCATGATGGCGTCTATGGACGTATCGAGGCAGGAGTGAGGCGGAATGTTGAGAAAGAGCGAGGTGGACGGGGCCCGCACAGGGCTCGAGGGGGGGTCGTCAAGAGGCCTCGTAGGGCCGCGTCTGTAAGGCTAGGTCCGCTGCGACGTGAGGAAGGAAGGCGCCAAAAAAAAAAAAAAAAAAAAAAAAAAAAAAAAAACCAAAGAAATAAAAAAGACATAAAAAACATAAATTGATAAAAACTTAAAGAGGGCAACAGACACTTACAATAATGAGACGAAGGAGACGAACGCGGGACAGGGCAAGAGGCGAACAACAAGCGCGTAGCTAGATCCGTAAGAACAACGACATGGTGGACTGACCCCTGCAGGCACACATCTGCGACTCCAACGTGCAATAGCAAACACTTTGCCGATCACAGACGCCCTCACAAATTCTTGCCGAGGACAGGCCAGGGCCGATGCAATGACGCTGCCGATCGAGCGTTTCCCCCAGCCTTTCTCGGCTTACTATACGACTGCGACTGTCTGACCCTGGCTGTCTGCCGACGTCCAATCGACACGTGCCCTTTGCAAAAAGGACAATATTCCATGGTGCAAAAAGGACAAAGAACGAATATTCCATGGTGCAAGCAACTGTAAAAACAAAAAGAACAGGAGGAAAAGGAAAAGGAAAACAAGACAATACGCGCAGGACGGGCTCTCCCTTGCCGACCTAGTTCGCTCGTACATAGAAGCGCGGTTAAAACCCGCCCCCTCGAGCGAGCCGTTGGATACAATGTACAGGACACTCGCTAGCGCAGCGTCGTTGACGATGAAAGAAACACATCCAAAAGACGATATATCTAAAGGGGTAAGATGGGCAGGAGGGTGTGTCGAGGGCGGACTACGGGGGTGTGCAAGATTTCAAAGTGATGACTTGTACCGCGCCTAGACGAGGTGGGTTTTGATAGAAAACGTCTCGGCCGTCGGTTCGTCGGAGCCGTTGGTATGAGAAGAAAGAAAAAAAGAAAGAGAAAAACAGGAAGATACAGAGACAGAGAAAGCACAACCAAACACAATGAGTACGGAGTAATGCGTGCAGCCCGTGCCTACTCGGCCGTGTGGTTGCTGTCTGTGACCGACTTCTATTTCGTAGGTGCGAATGGTATGCAGACAGGGATTCGTCTTGTTTGGCTCGTTTGGCCTGGGGGGTTGGTTACTTTCCTCAGGGCTAGACGATGCTTGTGCCAATCAAGTCGGATTCTATGAGGCCGTTGCGAGTGCAAAGCCAGTCCTCCGTATTACGGCCAAGACAACGTTTGTAGTTTTTTTATTTATCCAAGATAAAAGACACTGTTATGTTATTTTCGTGTGTAGTGGCTTTGGTCAAGCAAGGAGGGCGTGCTCCTTGATTCTAACCAACCGCGTGCTCTGTTCTATTTCTTTTTGGCATCCTCTTCAACAGTCGCCCTAAGCTGCCGTTGATCACAGATGCTTTTGCAACCGCTGAAACGACGAGCACGATATGGGCTGCGATCGGAAAGAAGACGAATGGAGGGGGGCTAAGGAAGGAAGGATTGGGCGCGAGTGCCGAGTCCTTTGATAGATCTCGGGGAAGGGGGGCAGAGATCGCCGAAGTCGTTGAAGAAGGAAAACGTCGAGGACAAAGGGCATATGGGTGGAGCGAAAGGTACGGGATAGTCAAAGTGGGAAGTGCTCTGGCTGGTTGTTGCCGCGAACATCGTCAATCAGCACACCCTCACTTTTGCGCCCAGAGTTGTCCTGGGTTGGTTGTGCGTTGTGATGTTCAACCGGTTGTCTGTTAGGTGTAAGTGGCCAGAGAGTGGGTACGCCAGATGACAAGGGCGGCCATGTGATAGGCCAGCCGGGGTGAAAACTCGCCGTCTTTTCCAGCCGCATGGGGATGGTTCGGTCCACAAAACAAGGGGAAATAGACGCCCGGCTTGGGATGGCACATGCAGGCTGGCACACCAGAAATGCAACACGACGACCAAACGACGACACAGGCTACCGCGACTGAAGGGCCACATAAAAAAAGAAATAAAGAAAAAAACCAAGAGACGAGGTTGCCAAACCCTGTCAGCCAGGAAAATGAACGACCAAAGTCGAGGTCCTGGTCGTGGACTCTGGCTGTTAGTCTGTTGTTGCGTATTGCATACCGAGGGCCGTGATAGAGCAGAGTTCGATATGCAATGTGACGAGATGGTGACTGTGAACTGTTTGGGCGGTAAATGCAATAGGACAGAGACAGGGGTACAGTACGGACCAGTGCGTCGTAAACGTCGGACGGTTCGCATTCAAAAGACCAAGGGATTTCATGTAGAGCAACGTGGTTGGACATTTGTCAAGAAAATGCAGGCGTATCCATGGTCGGACGGAATTTCAAAAACCGGGAAAGCAGAATTGGTAAGAAAAGCCCGAATGCCTCTCATTGCATGTAAGATTAATTGCCATCTGTCAGATGCACCTCGGGCAAGACCACAGCATCGGATGTGCAGTCTACCGTCCGTCCTCTCACGGCAGCGCCCTGCCTACAAGCGCGGCTGGCCTTTCCTGGACGAGTACGACGCAATTCTATGGACGATCCAAACGCAGAAGAGGAATTGGATGCCGATGACACGTAGACGAAGTGCATGCGATGGCCAGGCACGGCGGCAAACATACGCGTCTGTTGGGGGCGGAAGAGGCAATCTCCAAGCAAGGGCGAGCAACAGCCGCACGCAAAATAGGTGTGTCACTGTGACCATCTCGTCTTCTCTCCCACTATTGACGGTAATATGGTCGGGACTAGCCGCTGAGACTTCTTTTCTTTGCACACCACAACTCAACGAGTCTCCCTGCCGTCGCCTCTCCGCGCTTCACGATTGCGCATCGCTCGGTTTCGTCGCTTCTGTCGCTTCTCTCGTCTCTCTCGCCTCTGTCTCCTCTCTCACCAGACTTGTAGCGCGATTATCGACCTCCACGGCGGCTTTGCCGTCTTCATCTCTTGTTCTCCGCTAGGGGCGAAGACGGAACCAAGATAAACAAACGCGGGCGTGTATTATCTGCAGTTGGTTTGTGTTGGTTTCTGTTAGCTTATTTTTTTCTTGCTCGCAGTGGTGGTTTTTGTGAGGCTCGATACTCATTTATGATAGTCCGTGAAATACATCTGCAAGTGACTCGTTTTGTCGTCCGTTGCCTACCGGATAGACTCCCCGTTGTAGCCGTACTTTCAAGCATGAATTTCGTATTTTGACCAGACGATGATGATACCCAGAGGCCGAGCGGCACTGGCACGGCAGCAACGCTGTCCAACCACTTACACGCATTTGGCCCCCGTACCTGAGCTGTCACACCGTTTGCTCCAATATCACAGCAGTACTTCCATTGTACGTCGTAAGCGACCCGCTCCATTTCACCTACCTTTTTGCCAGAAATATTGTTAAAAACACGAAAAAGCACCAACTTCAAAATGCCGAAAGTCCACAAATATGTATTATTTAACACGAGCTTTTTTGGCAACGGTTTTATGTCTAAATATTATAAAAAAGTGTAATATTGAATTCAAAGAATTCAGAGATTATTTTTACAATTAAGTTAATTATTTAGCGTACAACGATACTTTGAAACGGAATTTGAATGAAGGTTTTGAAAGTAACAGTTGAAATTCACACTTTTGCCGTGTTGTTGTTGACGTTTCTTACGAAAAGGTGGGCGAAAACACGGGGGGGTCACTCGCTCCTCTATTTTTCCACAAAAAGGGAAGAAGGGTACGGGGTGTGCCGCTCATCTCAGGGTCTAGTTCCGGCTGTTTCCCAGCGGCCGCTAGCGTTAGCGCCCACGGGCACACCCTTGACGTCTCACGCCAGCCAGCTCTGCGCGCACCACAAAAACACACGAGATATATATAAAACGAAGCGAACAAAACCATCTACATGAAGACGTATCTAGCCCCATCTTGCGCCGGTACCCTCCATCATGGCACCATCTCGCCCACTTCATCTTCAGCTCCACCTGACTTTATCTGGGCGTTACACCGATTTCCGCGGCGGTGTTTGGCCCCCAGGCGAACCAGAAAATATGACGAGCACAGCAAAGCACACACAATATAAGCACCAATATGGTACGTAGCCGCCTCTTGGCCTCACTAGCTGGCTGTCTGCTCGATTTTCTGCCCCCAGGTTGATTTTTGAAGTGTCTTGCGGTGCCGTAGTTGTATCGGACATTGTTGTACAGAGTACGGAGGCATTCTTTTTAGTCCATTTCATTCCATTTATTTTATTTTATTTTACTTTACTTAATTTTTAGACAAGAACACAAGGTCGGCGAGCTTTGAAGTCCGCCGAGCTTTGAAGTATGAGTCTTGGCGTGGGCATTTCCAGTTGCAGTAAGATCCACTTACAACCAGAAAAACGGAGACAAAAAGTGCCGGCCTGGTCTCTGTATGTTGTAGATGCAACACGCTTTCTTAGTTCGCTTCGATGATATGCAAGACAAGTCTGCCTGACGGAGCCTTTGTAGTCGTCCCTGCCTCGGGATTGGACCTGACATTTGTAGCTTGACTGCTGTTTCTCTCTCTCTCTTCTACTTACAACGCTTTTGAAAGTTGTGGTCTTTCTTTCTGTATCCCGTGACCGATGACCGCTGCTGATTCTGAAAAGAAACCAAGTCCACAGATGGAATCCTCTCCAAACGGCAACAGTCCCCGCGCAATGCCAAGTACAACAGGCAAAACAGCAGAGGGTCTGCTATGTATTCCACGTCTGTACGACGTAAATGGCGTGGTCCGTCAAGAATGCAGATGGCTAACCCTTTTTGGCCTTTGGGGGTCGGCTGTCATTTTCAGCGCATCAGATGTCCCCGTCACAGTGTTGTACGGGCTGCTCCATCCCACTTTTTTGTGACTTTCCCAGTCGTTGTCGGCTTTGTGCCTGGACCAGACCAGGGTCTAGTGATATGCAACCTTTGCATGCCGTTGCAGCAAAACAAACCAAAGAATCAGCGTCGCAGAATGCAACAAAACATGCTCCCTACAATCTTGTTGTGCAAAAGCCGAATCGGGTAAGGGGGCATGCAGCTCAGATGGACCTGCATTGGATTTGCATGTGGATAACCCACGCGTGGTTGGCTCCTGGCCTGTGGTTTAGCGCCAGACTTTTTGATGTCGCTCTCGATGTCCGCATTCTCCCTTGCGTTTTTCTTTATTTATTTTCATTTTACTGTTTATAGAAAATCTATTCATGATCTTGTCTTAATTCAAGTGTTGCAGCCAACAAGTTCGTCCGCTGTGTGTGGTGTGAGTACACTCCAAAGTGCCGTGTGGCAGTCCTTTTTGGTGGTTCGTATCACGGTGTATACGCACACGTCGCCGCGGATGTCCATGATCGTTCTACGCTCCCCGTTTGTTGACAAACGCCATAGACGCGGCGTACTGTTGCATTCATTTCTTCATCAGGATCTGCTTTTACAAAAAAAAAAATAAAAAAAATAAACTCAATTATCTTTCTCTCATGACTATATTATCATGGCCACCATAAGTTCCTGACTGCTTCGTCGCTTCGATTCCTCTATTCACATTATGCATGGCCCCCTAACTGTCTGCATTTCCCTGAGACGGTCACCAAAAGTGGCCAGAAAACGATTGGCTTTTAATCGTCCATTTTGCCTGTAGGTCGGCTAGACCCGACCTCCCTTCCTACCTTTTTTAAGTCTCGCCTGTATCCCTCTCGGCAGAATATGGTGCAATAATTTGTAAAATAGTCGCTGTGGTCTCTTTTTACATTTTTGTCTTGCAGAGCCTTGGTCATATTAAATTGTGGCCCTCATCAAGGCATAATTCACTGACTGAGTATCTCTTTCTTCTTTCTTCTTTCTTCTTTCTTCTTTCTTCTTTTTTCTTTTTTCTTTTTTCTTTTTTCTTTTTTCTTTTTTCTTTTTTCTTTTTCTTTTTCACTTTTATATTCTCTTTTCCCCTCGCTCTCCCTTTACCACTTAATGAACTGGTCAATCGCGTATTTTAACCGCAAGCGCGCAGTGCAGTGCCAACAAATCTCTGATATTAAAATCCCCACAAAATCATAAAAGGGGGAGGCTATATATATATTGTGTGATTTAATGCCCAGCTCGAAAGAGACAAACTGAGAGATTCAATGTGAGAGTGCGCGTGTGGTACAGGGACGGGAGGAAGGAGAAGGATAGGTGCGTTGCACAGACACGGGAAAAAAATGGGACAACATGCAGCAGCAGATGCAACAGAGATGCAACCAGATGTATAAAACATACTTTGCGGCGACACCGGACAAGGAGGTCCCAGAGTGACTGAGAGAGACAAAGCTGGAGAAAGAGCCAACCACGACCGGGCATATAGACGCCCCGCCTAGGCTCCTTTTGTCTTCCCTCTCATTCAGACCCCGAGATGGCCGAAGAGGTCCAGACAACCTGCCAAAGAACTGCCTGTCGCGCGCCTTGTTCCGTTGGCCTGTGATGGTGGTATGGTCACGCACTGCAAAGCCACGGTTGCAGAGGGCCCGGCCAGCGCCGCACGGCTGTTGGTACGAGTCGGCGTGTAGCGAGGGACAAAAAGAGTGGTTACGAGCTTGTAACCTGTGACCATTAACCAGGAATCAGTTATCAGGAATCGGGGAAAGTAGACACGGAATCTGAAACCACCATGTCGTAAATCAAGGCGGACTCAGTAAAACAAAAAGGCGACTGTACGTCCCCTTTGACCATCTTTGGGGCCTCTGACCTGGCATGCACCGTACAGGGGGCGACCGCTTTTGGCCGTTCTGTAGCCCGATGCAGCCACCGTATGGCCCTTAGCGACCTCCGATCTGCAGCGCTCGCGGAGTAGCAAGTGAGCCTTGCGGAATAGAGAAAGAGAGGAGCAAAGGGACAGAGGGCTAGAGGAGTCGAGAATGGGGCCGTGAAAGAGTAGTGGAAACGTGACGCGATATCGACTAGGTATAGACAGACTGCCCACTCAGCAAAGTCCAAGGCAGAACGAGCGGTGGAAGGCAGTGGCGAGGCAATATCGCGACAATGTCGGGTAGATGAAATTGACGGACGGATCGACTGCGAGCAAGACAAGAATTTATCGCTATGAATTTGCTATCGGGCATAGGTTGATCACGGCTATGGGTCGTGTGCGAAGCTGTTTATGCCATAGCGTGCATGCAATGCGTCTTGGGGGATGGTCGCCCTCACCTATCGCCCACAAACACCCCGACCGTCCCCGATCCTAGTAATCAATCATCTTCACCTTCGACTGCACGTCGGCCGGCAGCTCGTCCAGTTGCAACAGGCCCGCCTTGATGCAGTCGCCCAGCACAAAGAACGCACGCTCTTGCGCGTAGCCGAGGTAGTCAAACTCCTCTTCGGGCTCGGTAGCGTCATCGGCCTCGACGGCCTCGCCGTCAATCGTAATGTCGTCGTCGTGATCCTCCGCCAGAACAGAGGCAGCAGATGACGAGCCCTCCTTTGGCGGCAGGCTGAATCCAGGCACCTTCGCTTGCACAATGCCCCAGGCCACCCACATGGCACTGTTGGCAGCGCGCCACAGCCGCGTCTCTTCCATGAGCTCATCGACCTGCCGCTCCAGCAGCTCTTCTCGCCGGCGCTCCTCCTCCATCCAACCACCCGGCGGCGCGCGCGCGTCTAGCATAAAGTCGACAATCGAGCTGGCCGAGGAGGCTGTGTGCGAGGTCGACTGGTTCGGCAACGTGGGCGGTGCCGAGGCGGTGCCGGCCGAATGCACACCGGCAGACAGCACAGGCCCGGAGAGCGGCTGCTCCAGTAGAGGTGGCAGAGGCGGCAGCGACATGGGGCCGAAGCGCGGTGTGCTGCTGGCGCACTGGTGCGGGAACTCGGGGCGGTGGTCGACGTAGGCACGGATGAAGCGGCGCTGTTGCTCGGGCGTCGGATAGCGGTCGGCGAAGCAGGCGTGCGAGGCTACGCTGTCGTGGTAGTTGTATGTCCACTCGGTGAAGTGGTTGGCAAACTCGTTGCCCGGAAGGTTGGCCGAAGCGTACTCAAAGTCAATGACAATCAGCTGCTTGTGCTCATTCTCGGGCTGCAGCAGCGGCGACCGTTCGTCGGGGCGGATGCGCAGAATGTTTCCATATTGTGTCTGTAATAGTGGTCAGTACGGTCCGTACGGCTGAAAGTCAAGAAGGGTTATACAGGTGCAGGGACACAAAACACGCGACTTACATCGTTGTGGGCAAAGATCAGGCGGTCTCGGATCCTTCGCGATCCGCCGTAGTAACTCTTCACCATCTCGCGGTGTTTTTCGAGAAGCGCCTTGAACTTGGGCCACTCCACGCCGCACACGTAGCCTCTGGACTTCCAGGTGTCCATAAACGAGCCGGTCTGCGGCGGCAACGCCGCGTCGCTGGGGACGGGAACGCCGTCCTGGGCAGCCTGCCGTTGCAGGCGCTCGCGCTCTGCACCGAGGCGCACCTCCCGGTCGAGGAACGTGATTGTGGCTTCCACCGTGTCCAACCAGCGGTCCCAGTTCTGCCACACAGTGGGGCCTGCGTCCAGCTCCTCCTCGAGCAGTTCGACACCGTCGTGCAGCTCGCGCATTCGCTTGGCAATCTGCTTGGACGTCTCAGGTTCGCGGAGGTTGGCCGCCGTCAGCGTCGTTGCCTTGAAGAACTGCTCGAAGCGGCCGTTGCCAAAGGTGCCTAGCAGGCGAGGACCGATCTTCTTGCGTCCCAGACGGCGTAGGACGCTGAGCTCCTTCTCACGGTCGATTAAGTGCTCCACCTGTGGGCCGTAGATGCGAAGCAACAGCTTGTTTGGCAGCACGGTCTTGCTGCTGCCACCCGCCAAACTGAGCGTGCTGCTGGAGGGTGTCAAGCCCGATGGCATGACCAGGGGCGACATCCCGGCGTCACTTCCACCACTGTGGCTCTGGCTCTGGCCCAGGCCATTGTTGCTGTGCTCGCCGCCGCCCAGGTCTGCGGGAGGCGACACCACATAGACGGCATTGGTCAGCGCACCACTGAGACGCTCAACGGTGATTGTCTCGCCAGCGTCGAGTGGGACCTTGCGCCAACCCTTCAGGCGGAGTGTGTGTGCCAAGCGAATGATTTCGTTCTTGAACTTGTACCATGCCTGCCGCTCCTTGTCCTCGCGCCGGCTCGAGATGGACCCGGCGTCTGACGCTGCCCGGCCGCTGCTGCTTGCCAGTGGGATGCTGGTCGTAGACGTCGAGTACTTGAGCGTCTTGGAGTTGTCCAGGACGGCGTCGCAGCCCGGCACCAGCACGTCGCCGTCCATGTATTCGGTGTCGGACGAAGCCGTGCGACTGGGAATGTAGCGCAGCGTGCGCGAGTGGCGGCGTCCGCTGTTGCTGATGCCGCTGCTGCTTAGGCCGCTGCCGCCACCGCCGCCAATACGCAGACCGCCCACATAGTTGGAGATCGACTCGATCCCAAGAGCGGACATGTTGTCGTCGATGATGCGTTGCAGGCGGTCGAGAGACACGTCGCTCGACGCTGAGCCCGTCGATGGTGCACGGTGGTGTCTTGACACTGTGGTTTGACCGACAGGGACGTCATCATCGTCGTCACCATTGTCGACGGCGGCTGCTGAGGTGGTGTCGCGCGCGGCTGCAGTGTCGTCAGCTGCTAGCCGCTCGCGGCGCTCTTTCGTCTTGCTGCTCCGCTTGGCACCGTCCTCGGCCGGCGGTGACCGGTTCTTGCGGCTGCCGTGAGCCCGAACCTTGCGGGACTTGCGAGTTTCCTTCTTGATGCGCTCGTGCTGGATCCACTCGCTAATCTGGGCCAGGAGGCGGCCACTGATATGATCGACGGCGCGGTGACGCTGCTGGTGGTGGTGCTGCTGCAGCGGGTTGATGAGCGGCCGCATGAGGGGCGAGGCGTTTTGGCGCGGGTCGTCGGCGGCCAGCTGCGCCGGCGAAGTCATGTACGTGGCCAGGCCATCGAGACTGGTCTGGCTGCTGACGGAGTTCCGCGAGGACGCGGGTAACGGCAAGACGGCCGCCCGACCGCTGAGGCGCTTAGCGCCTGTGACCGTGAACTGCTTGCGAGGCGGCAGTTCCTCGACGGGCGGCGGCTCCAGGACGTCAGTAACGTCGGGCTCGGCGATTTGCACCGCTGTAAAGCTGTCAATATACATTCTGCCAGTGGGAAAAAGAGAGAATGACAAAGAAGATGGGTGAGTAGCCCAGACAGTGCCAGGGAAGAGTGCCATAATAAGGAGGAGGTGAGCCATTGAAATAGGCACGCGACAGTGACTAGCCGAGTTCTCGAAAAGGCACACGACACTAGCTACCATGCAGTACAACAAAGGTGCCTGCCCCCACGCTGCAGCAGCAACTGCAGCAGCAAGGTGGCCACCGAGGGCCACATGACCCCTTTTTGTTGCGAGGCATATGGTAGACTGAAGGTAGACGGGGGGCAAACCGAGGACAACGACGGGGGGTGAGGGCGAGTAAGCACACAACACCAAAAAGATGTGCATATAGCTCTGCATGCATGAAATTGCGCAGAGATAAGACAAAGACAGATCAAAACCAAAGTCCATACACATGACGCGAAAGACCGTAAACACCAAACTATCAAATACTCATAGAGACTCACCTTTTGTCAGGCCACTCAAGGGCGGCGTCCGGTCTGAATCGTCGCGCAGAGCTGACCGGAGAGGCACCGACCGAGGCGAGCTGGTCGGCGCCTGCGGGTTGGACATGGCGCCCGACTGCAGTTCCTGCGGCTGCTTTTTACTGCGGCTGCTGACGGATTGTGCCGTATCGAATCTGGTCCGCCAGGAAAAGACGCCGGGGCTGAGGACGAAAGACGGAATGGCGTGGAAACAGAGGGCGCGAAAATGGATGCCGCACTGTCAACACGGCGGTCTACAGCCCGCCCGCACGAGAGGTATGTAGCGCGTAGGCGGCAAAGGCTGGCAATTTCTGTAATGTCAACAGTCAATGGTCAACAACAGCGGCTGAACGTCGCTGGGTGCACGGGTGCTGGTGTGGTGAGTTGTTTTGCCTTTATCGCGAGCAAAGGGCACAAACGATGTTTGTTGAGGTCCTCTGGTGCAGAAATGGGGCAGGAGCCTCGGTCTTGGCCCTCTGGCTTTGATCCGCCCCCATTCTGGCCATTATGGGCCACCTTCACTTCCAAGGCAAGTGCGAACGTCACTCATGTATTTTTCGCCTCTGAATCGCATTGGTGCATATCGTGGGATTTATATGTATTTATCCGAACTATCGTCTCATGCCACCACCAATACTACGGACCGCCCATACAGAGACACGTAAATAATGTGAGGTCAGCCACCTGCAGAGTGGTCACCCGACCGCAAGCGGTCCGAGTCCAGACGCCATTCTGCATTCTGCCCGCAGGCTGGTTTCCTTTGCTCATGCAGGCCATGCATTGTTCGCAGTGTTTTTTTCGCCTGCACATCCCAATTGAGCTGACCGAGTGCACATCTGCATGCCAGTCTGTAGGCGCTGTACACCTGTGTCGCAGTAGGAATGAGCGCCGCTAAACAATTACACAGCACGCGGCATGCTCCGCACACCGCCGTTTGATCGGCTCGCATGCTCTGCTCGGTGGCCAGTAAAGTATCGTCGGTCAACTGGATAAGGTGTCACGTGACGACAACTTACCGGCCTCGAAACCGTCGTGGTTCTTCAGCTGGCCGGGCTCCGGTATTGGCATTCGGCCGTGCTGTCAGCAATCGGCCGCTGCTCCCGTCTTCAGCTGTGCGGCTGGCATCGCTTGCATTCCTTTATCCGCGCCTTCGTTTGCTTGTTGTTGCTGCTCGTCGACCCTTACAACACGCCGTCGCTTTCGCCCTTCAGGCGCTCAACACGTTTCTGCTCCCAGTTGTCCAGATCCTTGTGTGCCAGTCGCTGCCAACACGTGTCAGTCACAGATGATCACTGTCGATGCGTCCCAGGGGAAAAAGGCCTCAACAAAAGCTTTTACAAATGCTCCACCGCGTCCACTTACGTTGTATTCTTCACGCATGTTCACCCGCCGGCCGCTCTTGCCGATGCCCAGCTCGTCCTCGCGCGATACCATGCGCACCTTGCGGTCGTGCCGTTCGTAGCGTATCGCCGTCGCCGTCGTCAGGACAAACGACCCGCCAATGATCACGGCCATGAACGGCAGCCCAAAGAGCAAAAACGGGTGCTTGGCCATATGCGCACGGTAGCGAGCCGCAAATGTGTTGGCGTCGGCCGCCGACCGGTATCGGTTCTTCTGGAACGCCATCCGGCGGAGTGATGGAAGCATTGTCCGTGTCGAGGTGGTGATCGAAGCCTGTGTTGAAGGTTTGTGTTGTCGCTGGTCGTCGCAAAGAAATGGCGCGACGTAGGATGTGCACTGACACCGCGAGCACTACTTTTCTCCAGTGCGCTGGGGCCACAGGCGGGACACTGCGGCTAGCAGTGGGGTGATCTTCCCACAAATTGATTCACGTGACCACGCGATCAGTGACCAAAGCCTTGGGTCGCTCTTTCTTTTTCAGGTTGCGCGTCTCGACGTGACGCTCAGTTTAGACGGCAAATGGCAAGAACGCAGCCTCGCCACCACCACCATCACCACTAACAACAAAAACAACAAAACAGCAACACCACTAAGGCCATAGCTCCTCTCGTGGTCCTCGCGAACCCGGGACCCATGCATTGTCCACAACACATGTTGCAGAGGCCCGGTGTTGTTCCACGATGAGCATCCCGCCGCACAATGCCTCTCTGCGGCCCGACGCCGAGGGCGAGCCTGCGCCAGACCCTATGGAGTCTCAAATCCCAAACAATAGTTACATCGTCGGCGACGATGGGACTGAAAACCAAGAACGAGAATCCAAGAGACGAAAGACCGAGCCATCGGCCCCGGTGCCGATCCTGACAAACATCCGCAACCGGATATGCGCCAAGTTCGGCGTCGAGATGGGCGACAATGTCCGAGAGACGCTTAGCACTATGTAGTAAGTTACAGACAGATGGGTTTGAGCTCGAGACATCCAACCTGCTGACACAATCTCCTCCCTTCTCCCTAGCGAAGCGATACAGAGTCGTGAGGACCTTCAAGACGAGCAGACAATCTGCTCCGCCCTCCAGTTCCTCAGCCAGACCCTGTGTGCCATCGACCACACAGCAACCCTTGTCGACCCCCACGACAACAGCTCCCCCATAATGTGCAAACCCTGCAAGACATTTGACACAACATATACACCACCTCGACACAAGGAGAAGGAGAGGGGGGACGCTGCGTGTGCGTTTCAACTGTTCCTGAACATTATCACGACCCTCGTTCCAACGACTGGCCCGCTCACTGTACGAGCCTTGATACTTCTTCGGCGCATAGTTCTCCATGCCAACACGGACGAGATTCTCGACTACGAGCAGTCGGATCTCTGCAAGTGGTGCTCGGCCCAGCTTTACAGCCCCGACAAAGCCGTCCGGGACCAAGCTGCGTGCGTATGAAGTGGCACGACTTTTCACGAGTCCCTTACTTCTGAATACGTCTGGCTAACATTCACAGAAAATCCGTCAGCGTTTTTGTGCGCGACCGGACAGATGCGTCCAAGTGCGTAATGGAGAAGAACCGGCGGCGTTTCTACAGCGGGCTAGACCACATGCTGGCCTCGGGCGACTGTATCATGCAGGAAACAAGCTCGTTGACCTGGATGTACATGGCAATGTAAGCACAAGCTGTCAATTACCAGCTTTCTTTACGTTCATCCGAATCCCCTCCCCCCCACCTCCACCTGGAACATGCAGCTGACTTGCATCAAGGGCCGTTGCCGAAAACCAACTGAGGCCCATGCTGTGTGGACTGCTGGCCCATCTGGACAGCGAACACATGCCGGTCTGGAATATGGCCATCTTAGAAGTGAGCAATGATCCAACTTCAATTGTCGTCTTCGTTTGTATTCCTGCCTGTCGACTCTCGACTCTACTCTCATGCGCCCGTCCTGACACTCCTTTTCACAGCTCCGCCATCTAGCGAGCCACTTTGGCCGGACTCCAAACGAGATCTTCGAGCCGTATTGGCGCAAAACGGCACATTTAATTGTCAAGCACATAGCCGATCGGCCGGATGTTGCCAGTGCCATTGCCAACCTCTTTGGCACGACCGCTCCAAAGCTGGCACTGCACCTGCAGTCCCAAGCTATCCCTTCGCTGCTCTTCAACCACCAGACGGCTGCCATCCGAAAAATTTCCGAGTACCGCGGTGACGGTGACGAGCTGTGGCTCACTTTCATGGATAAGAGCAATCTGACATCCATCTTGGCCATGTGGGTTCGACTGCCGGCCGAGTTCGGCGCTCTCGACGATCTGATGGAACGCTTCCAGACATTTTCTCCCCAACTTGGCCTGGCCACCATCCGCGACGTTATGGGCGCCGCTGCTGTTCCTGTCCTGGCCGAGCTTTTCATCCATCTCACCTACGAGTCTACACCCTCATCCGTCCGTTTTCCAAGCGTACGTGCCAGTCCCAGGAATCTCGCTCTCGCTCCTTGTACCCTTTACACACACAATTCAATTGGCAACTAACTTGGCACAGATTGTTGAAGGAATTGGCTTTAAGCCCATCCTCACCATTGCACGCCTATTGAACACCAACACCAGCCTGCAAACAGACGACGAGATCGTCATTGGCTTTCTGTCGCAACACGTTCTCGGTTTTACCACACTTCTTTCCGATGTCCGTGTCTACGACGGCAAGAGGCATCTGTGCCATTGGATTAACGGTATCGAGGCGCTCGAAATTCTCATCAAATACCTTCGGTCAGAGATTCGAGTTGCCCGTCCACAAGTCATTGCATTTCTCCTAGACGCTCTTGGTGACCACCCTGGCTACGCCGCCTGCTGGCAAGCCAGTGTACGGCGGGCAGCCATCTCGTGCTGGGCTGCGCTGGTGCAGAACGTCGGCGAAGAGAATGTGCACACGCTTGTCGAGACGACTTTTTGTGTTATTCGGAAAAATTGGAGCCAATTTGGTGATTGGGAAAAGGAAAAATGCCAGGACTTGCTGCAGTGGCTGCTAGCTAAGCCCAATGGCCGCCACCGGGACTGCATTGTCGAGAAGATCGACGTGCTTCCGCGTCTCAACATCCCCGAACTCCAAAGAGCTGTCGACAACAAAACGGACAAGCTGCGGAAGCCGCTCGGTGGCATGCAGACCATAGACCTGTTTGCACAGCGCATCACGCACGAGAATTTAGACGTCGTCTGGGTCGCCCTGGAAGATGCAAAGGAATTCCTGCAACACAACCAGGATTCCTTGCAAGCACCCACCCAGGGCGAAAAGTCTGACTCGGCCGTTGCTCACTTCGTTCGCGCGCTTCTGGACTGTTCCGCAAAATACAACGTGTCAGAGCCGGCTTTGGCATCAGCATGCATGGCTTGCATTGGCTTCATCGGCTGCCTGGACGCGAACCGGCTCGGTGCCGTTGCCAAGGATCCGCCATTCGTGGTGATCTACAATTTCTCCAATCTGGAAGAGAGCATCGACTTTGTTATTTACATGCTGCAGCATGTCCTAACGCGCGCCTTTCTTTCTGCAACAAACTCGACAAGCCAAGGGCTGATTGCGTATGCTGTGCAGACCCTGTTGACCAAGTGCGGGATCAACAATGCCATCTTTAGTCAAGGCCGCGAGCTAAAGTCCACGTACGAGAAGTGGAAAGCGCTTCCTGAGCTGGTGCAGGTTGTCCTTTCCCCTCTCCTCGTCTCCAAGTACCACATTGCGTTGCCCGCGCGTGTTCTGATCCGATACCCCATCTTCTGGCCTGGCCGGACCTATGGCGACTGGCTGAGAACCTTCGTGGTCGACCTCCTGGCCAAGCCGCAAACCCAGTTTGCTGAGATTCTGCACGAATCGCTGTCGCGCACGGCAAGGGGCAATGACCTGGCAGTAGCCGAGTTTTTGCTTCCGTACATGGTCGTCCACGTTGTGACCGGCCTGCGCAGTACCGATGAAGACCGCGAGCAAATCACGCTCGAACTCCAACACATTTCGCAGTATCAGCCACCTGACGAAGCGCCGTCCGCCGATCGAGAGCAGGCAAAGTTGTTTTACGATGTGAGTGGCCCTTGACTGCCAGTTTTCATTGCTCCCTCTCTCCATCTCTCTCTCTCTCTCTAACATTGTAGGCCGTTTTCCGTGTGATCGAATACGCCCTCGTCTGGCTGCGAAGCTCCATCCATCACGAAAAGCCAACTGGCGTCGCGCACATGGAAAAGTTTATTGGTGCTTTCCCAGCGGAAGTCCTTTCCCAAAAGGCATTATATTGCAAGGACTATGCGCGGGCCATGTTCTTCCTCGAGCCTGTGGCAATGGCCACCGTACCCGAAGAAGATGCCGAAGAAAAGGCACGGCGGGACAAGGCGGAATCCGACATGATCGACATCTACGCGCAGATCGATGACCCTGACTACCTGGGCGGCATGATGTCCAAAGCCGGCAGTATTGTGGAGATGAACACGTATCGAAAGGCCTTGCTCGAGCAGAAGGCCGGTCGATGGGAATCGGCAACGACGTGGCACCTTTCTGACCTGAGCTCGGAGCCAGATAATGTCGACATCCAGGCCCGCGTTCTTAAGTGCTTTTTGGAAGCTGGCCATCATGGTAAGTCAACAAGTTGGCGGCGCTGCGTGGGTTTCAGTAGCTCAAAATCATCAAGTATTAACAATATAGACGCTCTTTTGGCGAGAGTGGATGGCATGAATCTGTCCCAGGCACCTGCTGGCACGATCAGCAAAGTGCTCCCCCTGGCCCTTGAGGCATCTTGGGCCACCTTCCAGTGGGACAAGCTCGGCACCATGGTGCCAATTTACAAGGGCGACACGTTTGACATTTTCAACGTAGGCGTGGCCAGTGCACTGTCGCATCTGCAGCAGCTGAACATGACTGAATTCGACAGCGCCCTAAATAAAATTGTCAATCGCATTGCCGCATCCATGTCGTATTCAACAACCACGTCGCTGCAAGCATGCCACGAAGCCATGTTCCGTGCCCATGTGGTCACTGATCTTCGCCTGATCAGCTCGGTAACCAAGGCCGAGGCAGACGTTATGGAGCGACGGTCCAGCGCCCAGGGCCCCAAAAAGACAAGCGCCGCGCTCGCCACCCTCATTCAGCGACTGGACTTGCTCGAAGATGTCAGCGACAAGCGGTATCTGCTGGCGCTGCAGCGAGCGGCCATGGAGTCGCTGCGGCCCATATATGGCGACAAGGAAATCTCGACGCTGTGGCTCCTGAGT